GCTCTCTGTGTTGGAAAAGGGTACTTTTCCTATAAAGCTTATTTGACATGTGTTCCATAATCTACAAATAATCAAAGTCAGGCACTAACTGTGACCAAACCAAAGCACACCCCTTGGTAATGGGACAGTTTTATTTCTGAATTAGGAAGAGGGCAAATTTACTCACAGCCCAGAAAGGGAAGCAGTTCAGCATGATTAACAGCATAAGCTTCTGGAGGCAGAGTCTGGATTAGAATCCCTCCGCTGCCCCTCAGGAAGCCTATCTGAGTAAGTTACTCAGCCCGTAGAGCACTGGGAGCACTGGGAGCACTGGGAGCACTGGCAAGCACACGACAAGCACTCGGTTGGTGCAGGGCGGGATGGCGGCAGTCCAGAACCTGCGACTTGGCATCACCTGGGAGACGGTCAGAAATTCAGGCTCTCAGGTACAATTCCAGACTTACAGAATCAGAACCTGCATCTTTAAAGAGTTTATTTATTTATTTAGTTTTAGAAAGATGGGGAGGGAAGAAGAAAGGGAGAAAAACACCAACATGAGAGAGAAACATGGGTTGGTTGCCTCTCGCATGCAAGCTGAACAAGGAGCCGCCCCACAAACCAGGCATGAGCCTTGACCCACCGGAATTGGAATAGAACCTGCGACCTTTCCTTTGCTGGGATGAAGCTCAGAAGCTCAACCAACTGAGCCATGTGGGTCAGGGCTGAAGCTGCTTATCAAGAGCCCATTATGATCTGATGTAAATCCTTCCCCCCGTCTCCCCACCAGGCGTGTTACCTTTACCTTTCTCTCCCCTAAGCTCCAAGGGCCTTCTTCTGCCCCTGTAACTTGTTTCTGAGCCTACACAGCCCAGCCAGCTCACTTCCTCTGCCTCTGCGACTGCCTAAATAAACCTTCTCTTATAAAAAGAATATAACGATAATAATAATAATAATAAAGTGAAATTTTTAAAGCATACCTAAATGCATTTTTACATTATATTCAGACATTACCTACTATAATTAATTTTTTAAAAGCCACTCCATTACTTTTTTGCAAGTTGGATAAGATACATTTATTTTTAGTAAAAGACAAAGTATTAGCTGGGATCAAAATTCCTCCATTTTTTGATTCCTAACCATACTTGACTCAAAAGCAGTATGGACTAAGGCCCAAGGCTGTAGAGGACTGCCATCTAGTGGTAGTTCATTCTGATGCACACACCAAAACCTCCACTGCCTTCCATTTGTTTAAAATACGGCCAGGTTTCCTTTTTACTTAATTCCTTTCTTGAGGAATGCTAACATAGCTACCCAACCTAATAACTCCACAAGAAGCCATCATAAATACCAAGGAAGGTAAAAGGCAAGGATTTTTTTTAGCGTCCCCTTTAAAATTCAGATCAAGCGTAGAGGAGTTTTTCACACAGGAATGTCCAACCTGCAGCCCATGGGCCGCATGCAGCCCAGAATGGCTATGAGTGTGGCCCAACACAAAATCATAAGTTTACCTAAAATGTGATGAGATTGTTTTGTGATGACGTGTCACAATGTATTTAATGTGTGGCCCAAGACAACCCCTCTTCTTCCAGTGTGGCGCAAAGATGCCAAAACATTGGACACCCCTGCAAGAGAATAATCAGCTCACACCTAGAAAAAATACACATTCAAAAACACCAGAGCCCTGGCTAGTGTGGCACAGTGGATTGAGCACGGGCCTGTAAACCAAAAGGATGCCATTTCGATTCCCAACAAGGGCACAGGCCTGGGTTGTGGGCTGGGTCCCCAGGTGAGGACCTGTGAGAGGCAACCAATCGATACATCTCTTGCACATTGATGTCTCTCTCCCTCCCTTCCCCTCTCTCAAAACATAAATAAATAAAATCTTTTTAAACAATAAAGGAAAACACTAGAGACAGGGTTAGAAAATGGGCTTTCTTTAGGCATATGTATATCTTGCAGTGACTTTTATTTTCTGCTTTCTAAATTCTGTACTTTTACAATTTATTTATATAGTTATTTGAGCTTCCAAAATGAGAAAAAATATTTTATGACCTTCTGACTGAATAAGTCTATTCCTACACTCTATCCTAATGAAATCATCAGAAAGGCGGACAAAGATTATGTTCGAAGATGTTCATTCAAACAAACAAAACTTAATCTTCATAGCTTCATAATAACCCACTGAATCCATGCATCAAAACTTAGTCATTCTCCTCTATTACACAATTTAATCACTTCTCATTTCCTACATTACAAATAAATGCACATACGTAGATACAAAAGGAAAGAAGGGAGGGTAGAAAGGGCGAAGAAGTAAATTAACATAGGGCAACTTGACATGACTGTTTCGCATTTTGGATCATTTCCTCACATGCATTCCCATACATCCCATTTCAGCACCCAAGAACATTTTCATGGCTCCTAATAGCCTTATAAGAGTGTCGTATCATTTTACATGGCCACGAGCAATGGAGGACAGAGACCGCCACAACCCCTCTAGCAGTAGGTTTATCCCATGGCTAATTTTTTTAAGTTTGACTGAGATGTCATTTACATACCACCCTTTTAAGAATGTAACTCAATAGTTTTTAGTATATTGACAAAACTATGCAACCGTCACCATAATCTAATTTTGGAACATTTTCATCACCCCCAAAAAGAAACCCAGTAGCAATAACTCCCCATATCCCCAGGAACCTCCCCAATATGGCTAATTTTTACTAATTTTTCATGTTTTCTTGTAAATACCTCAATGATAAGTGTTTCAAACTCATGAAATGAAAAAATTCCTTCTGCTACTTAGCTGTTTCTCTGTTTCATCTGTAATATTCTGCTTAACCACAGGAAAGTAAAACATGTCAGAATATCCTCTTGTTTCTTCTGAAGGAACTTTTTAAGTGTAAGGCATAATGTAAGAACTAAGAGAAGGCATCATATAATACAAAGTTAACTGTTCTTTTCAATACAGCAACTCTATTGCTTTGGAAGTCCATTATTAAATTCAGCAAAAATATCACACAAAATCAAAGAATTTATTTTTCTTTGATTAATTTAAAACTTTTTATTTTATTACCTGACAATAAAATTAAAAGGACAGTGCAATCTATAAAAGATGACATTTAACATGTGATCTAAAGAACTGTCATGATGCTAACAAAAAAAATCCTTATTTCCATTTAGCCAAAGCACTTTTTTCTTGTGTCTCCATTTTTGGACTTCAGATATACAGAATTTAGCAATTTGACTTTTGGGGATTTCATAGGCAAAAAAAGAAAATGTCAATTAAACGAGGGAGGCCTAGGTCTCCCAATCATGTCAGACATTTTTTTAAAAAACAGTGAAAATCAGTCCCAACAGCTGCAGCTGGGAGGGGACACTTCACTGACAGAAGTTAGCCTCTCATCAAATTTTAGCTCCTTCTGTCCTCTATTCACCTAACCCTACACATCACCCATATTTCTCAAATAATTCCTGTTACTCAAGTTAAGCAATTATGCATTCCAACCCAGTGTTTTGTATCCTTTCATGTTAATTACTCAAATGGTTTCTTTGCACATTTGAAACACCCCCAAATGCTAACTGGTGTGCTCAAATCCACCCGTTCCTTACATTTACCTCTAGGTATGACAAAACTGAACTCACAGGCTCTGCCTGGTGTGGCTCAGTGGACTGAGTGCAGGCCTGCCAACCAAAGGGTCGCCGGCTCCATTCCCAGTCCAGGCACATGCCTGGGATTCGAAGGCCAGGTCCCCAGTGGGAGTCGTGTGAGAGACAACCACACATTGATGCTTCTCTCCCTTTCTCCCTCCCTTCCCCTCTCTCTAAAAATAAATAAACAAAATCTTCTAAAAAAACCTAAATTCACAGGAATGAAAGATACTTCCAAAGTAAAGTTGTTCTTTCCTGTCGCTAAAGAAAAATCTAAAATGGGTAGGCTACTTTTTAATACAATGGCTAATCAACTCATACAAGCAGCAGCTAGAAAAGGGTGAATGTGTTATAAAATCCCTAGTTACACGTTCTGCAGGGGCCACACAAAATCACACAAGTATGCATCACCCATGGGCTGCTGGTCCTCCAGTGCGCACCAACAGCTCAATGATGCTGTCACAGAGGAGTGAAAGGCTTAGCTTCTACACAAAACCACTCCAGCACCCACAGCACCAATGCCCAGAAGCAAGCACCAAACTGCAGGCACTCTGAGGCTCTGGGACTAGGGCACCCGCACTGCAGGTAGCCCCTGTGCTAACTAGAAACATTTACCCCCAGGATGAGAGGAACGCAGCTGCACTGAGCTGATGTTGGTAAAGATGATGGCTTTGTGACATTCAGAAAAGGTGCCCTTCCTCTGGGGGCACATGGCTTGAGGAGCAGGATCAAGCCTGCATTGCAGCCTCTCCTGGCCCCCAGTGCATGAGCCCTTGTGCACATGGCCCTAGACAGGTTGGGCAGAGAGAGGGCTCGGCAGCCTGGCCCTCACTAGAGCAGGCGGGGCAGGGACCCCCTTCAGTGAGATCAACTCCTTTTTCCAGCAGGGGGCAGGCACACAGCTCCACCACAAGAAAGTTCCATTTCCACCAGCCCACAAATAAAAGACAGACTCTGAAGAAAAGTCAGTTTTAGAAATGGTTCCGTAGACCATATAAAAATGCTGGTTATAAGAAAATCAAACACATTCATGTTTAAAGTGTTTCCTTAGTATTTTGCTTGGGTATTTGAATATAAAGCTTTTGGTAAAACATGTTTAACTCTTTCTGAGATTTATACCACATAATCATCCATTTCTATATGACCAAATACAGTCTCACTCAACATCACAGATAGTTTTCTTCAACTGTAAGGGAAACAACATATAATGGGACCAATTTCACCAGAGGCTAACAGAAACAAAAGTTAAATTTCTATAACATTTCATGAACATTACAACTAAACCACATTGAATGAAATGATGTTATTTGAAGACCTGCTGTATTCTAAATCTGGTACTTGCAATAACACATTCGCGAATAAATGCAAATTACCTTTTACACCACCAAATGATCCATAAGTCATATTGCAGGCCGTTCTCTGAAGATTATGTTCATACATCAATTTGATCTGATATTGGTTCCCATGTTCCACATTACCCAAGGTTCCTAAGGAGAAAAAGAAATCCTTTTATTGCTTTGTATTTGTGTACACTAAAAAATATTAATTTCTTCTCCACCCTCCACACCAATTCCAAGTCACTGGATTTCAAAAAATTGTAAATGACCAAACAATGAAATATTGTGTATTTCGAACAATCACCACACTGAGGACAAAGAACGCCAGCACAGTTAAAATGATTTCATCCCAACTGGATTACACCACTGGATGAAATACACCCTGAGTAACATTTTATTATCTATTTTCATTCTATCTGAGTGAAGTGCAATTATTTAAACAACAACAAAACCTTCCAATTTCAGTTCTGAAATAAATGAGATTACATTCCTGGCACTTACAAGCAATAATAGAGCAAAGATACGACTCACAGTGTCTAAGGAAAAAATTCCCCACACTTGCAAGCAATTCAATTTTCTGTCCCAACTTGCAAAATACTCAAGGCCTAATGCATTAAATATTCTAATTTAATGGAGAGAGTTTTCTAAAGCTTCCTTCAGCAAGTAAATAGGACATGATGTTTTATTTTAAGTATGACAAGAAGAATCTCCTTAAAAACAAAGGAGAATGCTTTCTCTGCCTTTAACAAATCATATTTGCTATAAACACTTCCTAGTTCTTTCCAAATAAGAAAAGATTATTTGCCTGTATTTTACTCTCTGCTGGCCTTTCTAGAGTGCTTACAGTTGAAGCTATAGCCCAGTGACTAGCTGGGAATGATCAGGGTTAAAAGAGGTGTTCAAAAGAAAATGGATTAAGAATACAGCTTCTTCCATGAACACATGTCTTTCTCACTCATTCGAAAATGTAAAAGTTAGAGAAAACACTTACTATATCATAAAGCCAATAAAACAGTCCCCAAACTATACAGTATTAGATCATTAAAACAACCTAAATATAAATGGCATGTGTATACACATACAGACAGACATGTGCGTACACAGGAGCACTGGCTTTTTGTCCAGGAGGACTGACTATCCCCTGAGGCTGTAAGAATACAAATATTTCTATTTCCATTTTAGAACTGAGGCACCGTACACTTAAAAAAATTTAAGTCCTGGCTGGTGTGGTTCAGTTGGTTGGAGCATCATCCCTTAACCTGAAAGGTTGCAGGTTCAATCCCCAGTCAGGGCACAAGGCACAAAAGAGGCAAACTGATCGATGTTTCTCTTTCACGTTGATGTTTCTGTCCCTCTCTCCCCATCTCTTCCTCTTTCTCTATAAACAGTAAGCATGTCCTCAGGTGAGAATTTTTTAAAAATTAAGAAATTTCTCCCCAAATCACGCAGCTGGTAAAGGACACAGTACTCAAACTAGGCCTTTAGATCCAGAACTACACATCCCGGTGCCTGGTTGTCCCTCACTGAACCTCTCCCCGGGAACTTGGTGAGCCAATGACAGTTTCCCGAAGGAGAACGTCATGAAGAATGTCACTTCCACCTCCTCCTTTCCCAGCCTGGCCTTTCTTACTCATTTGGAAGGTGGAGGAGGGCTGAAAAAGAAAAACTACCAGAGGAGGATTTCTTGGGGGAGAATCACTTCTACTCAGATCTGCGCCCCTGAAAATGATAACAGTAGGCTTTGCATGCCAATAAAATATGAAAAGAGAAAGACTCAAATTTTCCAGCTAACCCGGATAGGAGATGAAAGCTTTCTGGAGTGCAAACAGCAGTGAGACCGGTGAGGGGACGACCGAGGGGGGACGACCACCACACGAGCCCCATGGGGTATGGGGGCGGGGAGCCACCAACCAAGTAACTCCCGGCACTAACCTAAGAAAAAGAAGTTCCAAGAAACATCTGGTTTGTCCCTACAGAAATTACAAATTTCATTCTTCACCCAAAAGCAGACCACACCCTCTGAGGAAGGAAAGAGCTCTCGCACGCCCGCCAGCCAAAGGCTCGGTAGGCGTGGGGCCAAGCGGGGGGCACCACACGAAGCGGACATGACATGGGGGCCTGTGTCCCAACCACATGCCGCTCACATTGGAAAACTTCCACATTTCAGGTGACAGCACTTGAAAACTCAGCCATGCAACCATAGAGAACAGGACGCAATGTGGCCAAAGCTACCATCTTATAATAAAAGTGGTATCTGAAAATCTAAAACCCCTGGCCATTTTTTTTTCTAAAGAAGCACCAATGACAAAAGATTGAAATTACTTACACAGGTTTTGCCCTTGGACATACAGACTGAATATAGTAAGTATATACCTATAATTACAGTCTACATATAGCTAAAGTTATTGTAAAGTTTCGTCAAAGTAAACAGATATTAGAACATTTGTGCTGTTTCACCTTATATAAACAGAATCTGATTTAAATCTTTAAAAATCCTATGAGAAATCAAAGGTCACCCTGACAACAGTTTGGAGCCATTTCAAATAACTGTTGAAAAATCTAATGATGTTAAATAAAATAAAAACCTTTACAGAGTAAGTTTAAAAGGTTCATTGTGTTAAATAACCAAATTAGATTATATAAGTCTGTCAAAAGGAAGGAACCACATGTTTTTGCCCTCTTGTGGCAAACATTAAAATTCCATAAATATGTCAAGTGCTTGGTAAATGCTTGTTGAGAAGCACACAAGTTTTGGGAAAGAATATTTCAGAGGACATAATCAGTATGGCTTAAGCTCACGCATCTGTAACCACTTACTCAGAAGCTGAAGCCCACCCCTAAGGGGCCTCAGATGACACATGATGCTTTCTCTCGCTGAGTCTGATCAGGTGGGCTACCTCCAGGCCAGCGGGGGCTAAGTGCACCGATGACGACACTCGCCCACCAAAACGAAGTCGGCACAGTAGCCTCTGACTACTAAGGGGTGTCTGGTGTGTCCAGAAGGCCTCCTCTGGTTTGCTTCAAATCTTTTTTTAGCCACACACAGGGTATGAAAGACAGACAATAATTGGGGAGGGGCCCTTGGGGGGAAGGATGTCAAGTTCAGTGACACCTGCGTCTGCTGATACCAGTGGTTTTGCTTACACTAGAGAATGTTTATGCATCCCCCGTTACAGTAAAAGCTAGGTAAAAGTTCAGTCAGGAACTTCAAGAAACATTTTTCAAGAACGAAAACATGAACTCCCCTGCTTGTGAACTTAAGCCAAGCCAGGAAAAATATACAAACGGTCAGACTACAAATACTCTAAGAGGCTGCTGAAATGAGAGACGGAGAAGGGAAGTGAGGCAGGCGTAAGGAAAGGCAGTCTCGAGGCCCCTTCATCCCCACGGGACACACAGCTTGTGAACAAATGCAACACACAAAAGAGCGATAAAAGTCACCATTCTCGTGATGAGAAACTCTCATTTTCAATGCTGATTTGAAGGAGGACGCCCATGTCCCATCGACAAGTGCTGAGCAAACGTGCCAATTTCTTTCCATGGGTTTCGTTAATAATTGTACACGTTTTACTCCCGACTGTGCCCTATGCCTGAGTACGGCTGTAAAAGCTCCTGTCTTTAGACACTCACCAACCGAAAGTAGCCGCCTTGCCCACCAAAGGGAAGGCAAGAGTCTAACCTTATTCTAGTTTTCAGCAGGCTTCCCTCTCCTGCCCTCTCGGAGCTGCCACGGGGCCCGCAGAAGGAGTCAGTTCTCTAAGAAGCATTCAGGGGTGACCATGGCAAGACATCTTCTTCCATGGTCCGTGTAACACAGTTAATGAGAGCACTAGCAGTCAACAGGTTTACAGTGGGAAACAAAAGAACCACAGATGCACACAGTGAGGCAGTCTACACCATATGTTCCCACTGACTCTGTGACACTCAGTATTGGCTCTCCACCAGGAGGAGCAATGTCCTTTACCCTGAAACCAATGAGAATGTTTCATGGTTACCGTGAGAGGTGCTATCCAGGCCTCTGATGCAAAAAGAGTGGAAAAGGAAATAATAGTGGTAACAGAGAAGGAAAAGGAAGGGAGAGGGTAACACAAAGAAAATAATAATGAACCACGACCAAACCTCAGCACTACCTGGAAGTTAGTTCACTCATTCATTCAACCAGTATGCCTACTGCATACCACGTGCCAGTTACCAAGCCGGCCTTAGGGACCCAACAGACCTTCACCCCGGAAAGAGACTGCCTAATAACATCCAGCTCAGAGACGGGGAAAACAAATCAGTATTTGAAATGAAAGCAAAATACAAAGAAAGCCCAAATCAAGAGAACCAGTGTAAGAAATCCAAATCCTAAGAGCTTACATTTATATCAAACCCCAAAGATGTGTATTGTTTGGATAAAAAATAGGCCCACAGATATTGGCTTTATTATAGTACCCATTAAAAGAGTCCCAATATTGATATCCATAAAAATAACTCTCTCAGCTTGAACTAAAATTTATGTAATAACAGAAACAAAGTTTTTTAAGTTACCTTTTGTATTTAATAAAGGCCAAAATGCTGAAACTATTCCACATTTAATTACCATTCTTGTACCCAGAGAGCAGTGTTGATAATGAAACCCGATTAAGCATCAATGACTGCCTCAAGCTCGAGTCGAGTGAAGAAAACCAGAGACCAAGAGGCAGAACTGTAAGGAAGCAGCACTTGAGGTTCACCAAAGAAAATGTACTTTAAACCACTATGACTCGGCCTCTGATGAATTTGTTACTGCTACTGAATATTCCTTAAGACTGAAGTGTGCTAAATACCCAGAATTGGCCCCTATTAGAACAATCCTGGATGTAATCCTTGAGAGAAAGGGGATTACAAGGAACCCTCTACGAGAATTTTAAGTATGCACAGAAATAGCAGACACAAGAAAATATAACAGCCTAAGCACCCAAAAGAACAAATGAACAAAATTCTAACCAATGAACAAAGGGAAAATTCTAGCCAAGATAGCAAATCCTTGGCATGACTGGTGTGGCTCAGTAGGTTGAGAGCCAGCCTATGAACTGAAAGTTCACTGGTTCAATTCCCAGTCAGGGCACACGTCTGTGTTACAGGCCAGGTCCCTGGTTAGGGGCATGCAAGAGGCAACTGATTGGTATTTCTCTCCCTCTTTATCCTTCCCTTCTCTTATCTCTGAAACTAAATAAAATCTTTAAAAAATAAAAAATAAGAAGACCTTCAACCAAATGTCTTGTGTTCTCTACCAAGTCAGCATTAGAGATATCTATTCCTTCACAATATTCAAAAGCCCAGACTTCTTTCTGGTCAAGGTGGAGGTGGAAGTAAACACACTTTGCCTCCTTACACAACTACAGTAAAAATTACAAGTAGACTACAAAACAAATATTACTCAGATTCATCGAAAATCGAGCTGTATAGAAGTCTAACAACCAAAGATTTAAAGAAGCCACACTCATCCAGACAGGTAGGAGGGGCAGAGACACAGCAACACATGGAGAGGTGGAGAGGAGTGGGGAGCCGGCGGAACAGGAGGTCTCACATTCATGTGTGGCAGATAAAAATCAGGAAGGATATCTCAGGAGCAAGGGATCCCAGGCCCGTGGACCTGGCCTGATCACCCAGCCCAGGGTTCCAGTGCCAGAAAGATAAGTCCCCATAACTTCTGGCTGTACAAACCAGTGGGGTTTGGGGCAGCAGAAGAAACTCCAGATTCTCAGGGGACTCCTCTAAAAGGGCCCACAAAGGTCTCAGGACTTATGCAGACTGACCCCCTCTGGGATTCAGCACCAGGGCAACAGCTAGAAGGACGCCAGTGGCATAGAGGGAGAAAGTGAAGTGACTGGAAATAGGGCCAGTGCCAGGAGACAGCTTCCTTCTGGGAAAATCTCAGAAGCCAGGCAGTGGCATTGTCCCGTTACTGAGTCCTCACCCACACAGAGCCACAAGGCAGTGAAACAGGTTGCCCTATCCTGATGATTACCCAAGGCTCTAGCCCACACAATTTATAGGTGAGCTTTTCTATAATATGCCACACTAATAAGTCAGGGAGTGAAAGCACCTCTACCTAATACACAGAAATAAATACAGGGAGGCTGCCAAATTGAGGAGACAAAAAAATATGGCCCAAATGGGGGGGAAAAAAAAACAGAACAAAATTCCAGAAAAGAACTAAGCAAAATGCAGATAAGCAACCTACCAGATGCAGAGTTCAAAAACAATGGTTATCAGAATGCTCAAAGAACTCAGTGGGTACTTCAACAGCATAAAAAACACCCAGGCAGAAATGAAGGTTGCATTAAGTGAAATAAAGAAAAAGCTACAGGGAACCAACAGTGGAGGGGATGAAGCCAAAAATCAAATCAACAATTTGGAACATAAGGAAGAAAAAAAGCATTCAATCAAAATAGCAAGATGAAAAAAGAATTAAAAAAAAATGAGGATAGACTAAGGAGCCCCTGGGACATCTTCAAATGTACTAATATCTGAATCATAGGGGTGTCAGAAGAAGAAAAAGATGAGCAAGAAATTGAAAACTTAATTGAAAAAGTAATGAAAGAACACTTCCCTGGCTGGTGTATCTCCCCACACCTAGCTCTTTCCCTCCCTTGGGACAGTAAAAATAGAAACCCTTTACTCTCGAAAGGAAGGAAGGAAGAACAAATGGATGGGAGAATGGACAAACTTCCCTAATTTGGTAAAGGAAATAGACATACAAGTCCAGGAAGCACATAAAATCCCAAACAAGTTGGACCCAAAGAGGACCACACCAAGACACATCATAATTAAAATGCCAAAGGTTAAAGATAGAGAATCTTAAAAACAGCAAGAGAAAAGCAGACAGTTGCCTACAAAGGAGTTCCCATAAGACTGTCAGCCAATCTCTCAAAAGAAATGTTGCAGGCTAGAAGGGACTGGCAAGAAGTGATGAAAAGCAAGGACCTACAACCCAGATTACTCTATCTAGTAAAGCTATCACTCGGAATGGAAGGGCAGATAAAGTACTTCCCAGGCAAGGTCAAGTTAAAGGAGTTCATCATCACCAAGCCATTATTATATGAAATGTTAAAGGGAACTATATCAGAAAAAAAAGATCAAGACTGTGAACATTCAAATGGCAACAAATTCACAACTATCAACAACTGAGTCTAAAAAACAAACTAAGCACCTTGGCTGGTGCGGCTCAGTGGATCACTGAGTGCAGGTCTGCAAACCAAAAGGTCACTGGTTCGATTAATTCCCTGTCAGGGCACATGCCTGGGTTGTGGGCTAGGTCCCCAGCTGGGGGCATTCAAGAGGCAACTGATCGATGTACCTTTCACACATTGTTGTTTCTCTCCCTCTCTTTCTGCCTCCCTCCCCCTCTCTCTACAAGTAAATAAATAAAATCATTTAAAGAATAAAAATAAAAAACAAAAATAAATAAATAAATAAGTAAAAAACAAACTAAGGAAACAACCAGAACCGGAACAGAATTATAGATATGGAGATCACTTGGAGGGTTATCAGCTGGAAGGGGAGAATCGGGAAAAGGTACAGGGATTAAGAACTACAAATTGGTAGGTGCAAAATGGACAGGGTGATGTTAAGAACAGTATAGTAAATGGAGTAGCCAAAGAAGTTTTATGCATGACTCATGGGCATGGGGGGGCAGTAAGCGGGGGTGGATTGCTACAAAGAATGGGGGTAGTAGGCAGAGGGACACGAAAGGGAAAAATTGGGACAACTGTAATAGCATAGTAAATAAAATATATTGAAGAAATAAAAATGTCAAAAATATAAATGAATAAAAAGCCAATTTCTAATAGAAATTTGACCTTAGAAAAACATGTTTCTTACCTGAAACTGAGTAGACACAAAGTTTTCTAGAATGCAGCACAGCCAAATGAAGCATTTCAGTACCTCTGAAAAATGGGGAAAGTTTTTAAAGTTTAAATATTAGTTTCAGACAAAACCAAAAAATTACACAATAATTTTTACAAGAGATTATCACCACAGTCCACCACAAGTAACCTAAACAGTCCACTAGATGACATTCCAAGCTGAAAAAGAAAGGTAAGCAAGAACCAGTTTGACAGGCCCAGAGGCTCAGGAGCTGCCTTCAGATGGAAGCCCAGGGAACCCCCCGGAGGAGGCTCCCAGAGGCCCCTTCATGAGCGCTCTCCCACAATAAAGAGACCCCTGGCAGGCTCTGCCTCTCCAGCTCATTAACCTGGGACCTTCAGCATGTCACTTAATCTCTCCAAGTCTGTTTCCCCTTCTGGAAAATAAGAGGTTTCAATTGCATGAAATGAAATCATGTGAAAGCACCTCGCAAAGCACCACAGAATGCTAATCATTGTTAAATAACAGTGATGATTTTAAATGGCATGTATTATTTCCGGTTGTGAATGTAATGAAAGGCACTGAAAGTATTTCAGTTTGACCACTGTCACCACTTCGCTGCCCTGTCCCTCTTGAGTGGTTTCAAGAAACAAGGAAGGCAGGGTCTAGAAATCCAAAATCCAAAGTCTTCAAGGGTCAAGAGGGTACATATAAATGAGTAAAGGGCGTAAGTGGCTGGGACCCACTGAGGCTGGGGCCAGGCTGAAGCAGGCCACTGCTACTCAGGTCCAGGCTTGTGGAGATGGATTTCATGTGACATCTCCTGGCTGAAGTGTATATACATATAAATGAGTTTATTTGAGCCACGCTGACATCATACACTGCGGAATAAGATCTCCTCCTGGTTCTTAAACGCTGGCAAGTCTTCGCAGTGTCAGACACATCCGCAAGCAGGCCTCCAGTGCCTGATCTGCGTTCTAGAGATTCTGTTCTAAACGACAGGGCCTATCGTTGAAATCTGAAGTCCTGGGGTAGGGTCCTGACTCCTCACCTTAATATTTGTGTGACCATTTGATCTTTCAGAAGGCCACCCTCTCATTTAGTAAATAAGGATTATATTAGATACTACCTGCAAAACATTGTCACAGTGAATATATAAATACCACTCACTGTACTATCAGAAAATGCAAATATACACAATGATCAAATAATCAATACTGCCTTCAAAATTTTTTGTATGTGCCCTGAACACTCAAAATTTTTCCACCATGCACAGGAAAAGACATCATGAAGAGACAGCAAAGCGTGGAGTCAGGCAGACCTGGGTCTGAACCCCAGCCATGTGACCTAACGTCTGAGCTCCAGCGAGCTTCCTTATCTCAGAAGGCAGAGTAGGAGACAGCACTAGCTCATTAGTGCTGATTCAGGATCCACTCACTACAGTTAACCTCCTCCCTTCCCACAAGTGATCACAGCGGTGATGGCCACACACAGGGCTACTGGGCAGAATAGCTGTCACAACACTCCACTTTTGGAAAAAAAAAAAAAACAGAAAGGTAAACATGCTTTTTAGAGGCAGAATCCTTTCATCTCCTTATAGTATAAACCCATCCTGTATAATATGAGAGAAGGACACCTTATCACCACCAGCTTTTAGACGGAGTAAGTATTTACCAACCACGTCAGTCACATCTCCCCCTCCACCCTGTCGCAGTACGTCCATGAAGCAGCTTCCCTCAGAACAAAACGCAGCAGGAAAAGAGGGGGAGCAGTCAGGTTTTCTAGCAGGACTCAGGGCCCTGAAGAAATGGAAGCTGGGGCCAACAAATTATGATGAGCAGCCCTGGCTGGGTAGCTCAGATACATGGGGCAGCATCCTGATGCACCGAGGTTATGCGTCTGATCCCCGGTCAGGGCACATACAGGAAACAACCAATGAACAAATAGATGGATGGAACAACAAATCGATGTTTCTTTCTCTCTCTCTTTCCCTCCCTCTGTCCTTTCCTCTTGCTCTCTAAAAAATCAATAAATAGCCCTGGCTGGTGTAGCTCAGTGGATTGAGCACGGGCCTGTGAAGCAAAGGGTCGCAGGTTTGATTCCTAGTCAGGGCACATGCCTGGGCTACAGACCAGGTCCTCAATAGGGGACACATGAGAGGCAACCACACATTGATGTTTCTCTCCCACTCTTTCTCCTTCCCTTCCCCTCCCTCTAAAAATAAATAAATATTTTTAAAATAAATAAATAAATCATTTTTAATTATGATGAGCAAATGGAGTGAACCAAAATCCAGAGCTCAAGGCACTCCCTGACCAAAGAAGGCAAAACGGGGTCAAAGAGAAGAAGCAGAGAAACAAGATCGCCGCTGTCTACATAACTTTTCACAATGGATACTTTTATAAATGATTAAGAAGCCCAGGCTTAAGGATGAAATATTGCCATTTGCAACAACATGGATGGATCCTGAGGGTGTCACACTAAGGAAAATCAGACAGGAAAGGACAAGAACCATGTGCTTTCTCTCGGATGTGGGATATAAGACAAAAAGCAGCAAAGGAACAAACAAAACAAAATTGTAAGAAGTTACCAGAAGGAAAGGGTAGGGTGGAAAATAAAGAGAGTAAAGGGGGTCACGTGTATGGTGACAGAAGGAGACTGGACTTCATGGGTACTGTGCATATAATGCAATATACAGATGATGTATCATAGAAATGTACAATCGAAACTGATAAAATGTTATTAGCCAACGTTACCCAACAAACTTAATTTAAAAGAAATACAGATTTATTTTAAGAAAATTCATGTACGAAAATAAGATGAAATCAGCACTATCATCAGTAAATAAAAAAGCAGTCATATTAAACAAAATGTGAACTAATAAACAGTTTTCTAAAATAAGCTCTTGTAAAGGAAAACTTAATTTTGTGGGTTGATCTGGCTGCTTTTGAGAAACTAAGGACCTCTCCACCCCAAATACATAATTCATTTTAAAGCTTCAAAGCTATGTGCCAAATAGCATAACTGTTACTTTGCCTAATTATTTAAAAAGATACTTATATAAACTGGACATTTAGTGTTTTAAATGAATACTTTCTATTTGTTTATTTGGTTATTTTCAAAAGCTTATCTCTTTTCCTTTAAGTTTCTGATCTATCAGGAATCTTAGGTCTATTACTATAAAAATTGTCCTAAGTGATTTGACCTTAAATGTACAGATTTCCACATTTTAAAAAAATTCAGTGACTGAGGAACACCTACGAGACAATATCCAGAAAACATATTAAGTTCATGGATAGTCTTTCCTTCTTCAAAGAACCCATAAATGTGACACAGTAAGGGACTGCTATATTCCGAGTAAAATAAAATACCCAAATTTGTGGGCTGTACTTACGAAACAAATTTTCCTACTTCCACTTGCAGTATTGGATCTTGTAGATGAACTTCTAGAAGCAAATCTTCAGCTTGAGCCCCATCTCCTGTTTTTACAGGGTGGGGGTTGAAGATTCGCAGGTATCCCATAAAGCTACCCACAATTATTTTATCTGTGGAGAGATTTTTTTTTTAAAAAAGAATTAGGAAGAAACAAATAGCAACAATATTTCTTTGGAAATAAACTTTTTAATGTTAAAAAACAAATGTAAGAATGAAAAGAATTGAGTCTTGCTTTGTATACAAAGCCCAATCTGCCAACAGAACATGTAATCAAGTGAGCTTACTTAATAACATACAGCTTTTCAAAAGTAGCTTTATATTTACCAACAGTCAAATGTATCAACATACTACATTTTTTCCAAAGCCTCAATTTGGTTATCAGTAGTCATAATTTAACTGGGTCAAAGCAAGCTGTTTTATCAAAGGACTAGTGTAAGGCCATAAACTGACTTAATCAGAATGTCAACTCTACATTGGTTGCAGCTGCTGGAAACACTGCATTAAAAAGCATTCTGACACCCGGCCCGTGTGGCTCAGTTGGCTGGGTGTCATTCCACAAAGCAAAAAGTTACCGGTTTGATTCCCAATCAGGCCACACACTTGGGTTATGAGCTAGGCCCCCCGTCAGGGTGCATACAAGAGGCAGCCCATTGATGTTTCTCTGTCACATCAATGTTTCTCTCCTTCTCCCTTCCTTCCCCTCTCTAAAAAATAAATAAATAAAATGCTTATTTTTTATTTTTAAAAAAAGGGATTCCTAGGTCTCACTGTTAAAGCAGTGGACTCTACCTCCAGCTGGTGTCCCGAGAAATATGGGCTGAGGTCCTAACCCCGAGTACCTGTGACTTTATTTGGAAACAGGGTCTTTGCAGATGTAATCGAATTAAGATGAGGTCCCAGTTGATCAGGTGTGTGATAGCACTCCATCAGTACCCTTACAGGAAGAGAAAACTGAGCCAGAGAGAGTGCCACGTGAGGACACAGACATACAAGAAGATCATGTGACAATGGAGTGAAACATCTACCAGCCAAAGAAGACCGGGGGCTATCAGAAGCTGCAAGAGACAAAGAAGGGTCCTAGAGGCTTCCCAGGGAGCCTGGCCCTGCCAACACCAACCAGATGGCCAGCAAGGTTGGAAAAAAACCTAGTAGCAGGACTACACTGCTAGGTGACCAGTCACAGAAGAGAAGGGAGCCCCCAACATGACTTCTTGCCATATAGTTTCATATAGTTTGCCATATAGTTTCTTCTACTTTTTCATCCTAATATTTTTTAACATTTTTCCTTCTCTTCTTCTTCTCAACTACATACAGGTTGTGAACACAGATGGTACATACCACTTAGTCTACAGGAGACAGATACTGGATCATGGCCATGAATGAATGACAAGAGAAAGGGGTAGCACCCAGAGACACTGGTCTTAAAGAGCCAGCGCTCCCTGAAAGTGCCCCTGACGCTTCCCCCACTGCAGAGGGGAAGCCCACGTGCAAGTGCAGTGGTACCAAGGACAGCTGCCCGAAGGAGGCCTGAAGGCTGAGCAGCTAAAAGGTAAACAGAGGAGCTGTTTTTCAGTCAGCCTTCCGTGTTTTCTACTGATCCTTGTATTGAGCTCTCCCTCTGGGCCACAGGTTAGCACGTAATCCCACCTGGACCAGGCAGATTCTCCCTGGAACCCCCACTCTTCTTATCTGTCTTGAGGGTCTGAGTCTTGAATTGAGAAGAACTGGAGGAGAGTGGGCACCACTTTAAACACAGTGTCTAATTTCAATGGGGATCTCAAGATGAGCCAGGGATCCTTACACATATTGAGTCAGCTTCACCTAAAACAGGATGCCTAACAGAACCCCTTCCCTCTCAGATCACTTCAAAGTAGGGGTCAACTGGCAGGCTTGCCTCAGCTTCCCAGCCCGACTGCAAACTCCTCTTCCTCTGTTCCCACCCTCACCTTCCCACCTTGTGCCTCAGTGAAAGAGTCCTCATGCCTGTGTCACGTTAACCCTTCCATCCGCACACCGGATCCCATCTCTGACCATCTTCTCTGAATGCCTATGTTATCAATTACATCCTCTATGTGACCCAGTGAGTTCTGTCCATCTTCTTTACCCAACATTGCCCCCAACCATCACCCTCCCTCCTCTCCTGCACCCTTCAGTTTCATTAAAGGGCTATAAACACTCAGTCTTCCCACCCTCCCACTCCCTCAGCCAATGAAAATCTGATTTCGTTACCATTGTGCCCACTCATCCACCCTACGCAAGGGCAGTAATGAACCACTTGCTGCTGAATGGCAGGAGCCCCTTCAGTCCTCATGTCACCAAACCTCACCTCCCAGGTCCCAGCCCTGCACCATTCTCAGAATCTATCACTGATCACCCTTCCCAACCCTCCCACTTTAATGCGCTTACTCTCCAGGTCATGGTGCTAAGGTTCCTGCCCTCTTATTCCACCTTGTCTCCCTGCATTTCACCGGTTCTCACAGCTTCAAACACAACCAGCACACTGCTCCCTCCAAAAGCTCTACCTCTGCTCTGCCTACTAGACATTGCTTTCTCAAAAGAGCATGTCCCAAACTTCTCCAATTAACCCTCCCCTCCATGAGATCGGCGATAACAACACCTAGACTTTAGCATGCCACCATCCAACTTCAGAGCTTGTCAAAAGTGCAGATACCTAAGCTCCCCTCTAATCCACCTACCCCCAGAGAACATGCTCCTCCTGGGTCTTGCACATCTGGAACAAAAAGTCGTCATACCTAATAATCACCCCAGGACAGTATGACACACAGTGGTCCAGGCTGTGAGTGACAAAAACAGTGGTTTTTTTTTCTATGTGGGACACACATGAGACAACGTGTACAGTGTGCCTAGGTGAACAGACAAAGCAGCTCACAGCTAGTCCACGAATTGGGGGGAAGCAACACGTCAGCACAGTGGGACCCCAGCGGTGGCGCCCCAGGGAGGGACCCTGAGAGAAACAATGAGTGCACAGTGTGCTATTCAGACAGTCAGGAAGTACGATTTACAACCCACAGGGGCATTAGATCATTCAGGCAGAAATGGCTTTGAAATTGCTCTCTCTGGCAGGTATTTTCATGGTGTGACTCTTTTATGTTGCCAAATAATAGGGGAATCATGAGCTTTCACAGAGAGTTGGGCAGGAGGCAGGGATGGCGATCTCTGAAGACCCTCCCAGGAGACCCACTGAAGAGAAGGCCTCCCAGTGTCCTGTCACTGAGAGAGCAGGGCCCGACTGTCCTTAGAAACAACTGGGCAGGTGCCCACTGCACTTCAGTGCCCCCACTCTTCCTTGGCAATGTAGTTTTCTCCCTGCACCTTGTCCCCCAGATTCACTGTTTTCATTACAGGCAAGAAAAACAAAGTGAAGAAAAATGTAAGGGGACAATACTTAGCCACAATGAACAAAGGAACAATCATACTGTGATACGTATTCTTTTTTAAGCCCTGGCTGGTGTGGTTCAGTGGACTGAGCACTGGCCTGCAAACCAAAGCATCTCCAGTTCAACTTCCAGTCAGGACACATGCCTGGGTTGTGAGCCAGGTCCCCACTAGGGAACACACGAGAAGCAACCACACATTGATGTTTCTCTCCCTCTCCTTCTCTCTCCCTTCTCCTTTCTCTAAAAATAAATAAATAAGACCTTTAAAAGATAATTTTAAAAAACAAAATTAGTGCACAATTATGACAGTGCACTTACGTTCTATAAAGTACATATTTTAAAAGGAAGTTGTTCTTGTTTCATCCATGTAATGCTTTGCTCAAAGACGCACGGCCATAAGTTACTCACCTTGTCCATTTCCTGTATTGTCAACATCAGCCAAACACAAACAGCCTTGATCAAATTCTTCTTTCTCTCCCAGAACAGTAGACCACCAATCACGGGCCTTAAATAAGGACATCTTTGTTCACTCTAAAAAGAAAAAGGGTATAAAAAATTTTTAAATAAAGGATAATTTAAAAAATCCTCTTCACAACATGAATTATGAATTAATTCTCTCTTAAGGCATAGAAAATTAAATTTGTACAACTTTGACAAAACTAGTGCTGCATTAACTTTAATTTTCTTGTATTTTTGTGGACCTATGTGAAACACAAATCTAAATGGGTACAAGCATTAATCAGATGTTTTGCAAGGACATTGGAAAGCCAGGCTAAGAAATTATACATGTATGTTGGGCCAGTTCTCTCTTTTGGGAAATTCAGTAGACAACTACACAAAGTGACAAAAAAATTTTTTCTTGGGAGGATCAAGATTCTGATTCTACCATCACTAGTTAGCACGTAATTCCTTAGCAAAATACCCAACTCCCTCCAGCTGGTCACGGGAAGGACTGCAGCATCTCCTGTCACACTGAGTCACAGAGAAGAGCAGACAAGATCAAGTGCCTCAAACGCCTACCACTGGAACCTGCATGGGACACGTAACCAGAATGCACTCATTCCCTTTCCCCGTTCTAACTGTGAAAAAGCAAGCTGAAAAAGGAAACTCACACCAAAGAAGAAGCAGGAAAACTGGGTTGCAGGCCCATTTATACCACTCACTACCTGTGTGTCCTCAGGCACCCACACCACCTCTCTGTGCTTTGACTCATCACCTAGAGGGGGAACGTGCCCACCATACCTTCCGCTGAGTTCCTGAGAGGGTGCATGGGACCTTCTGAATTACTACACAGCGCCACATATCCTGGGATGCCGCAAGAGTCAATACAACAGAAATGAGGCTTTCCCTGCTGTTGCACTGATTTAAATGATAGTAAAAAACGCGGTCAATTCTCCCTATTCAAAGAAGCTTTGTTCCATAAAGTCACATGACAAACACTGAATTAGCAAATACGGAACCACTCGTCCTAGGGAAATACAGTGTGAGGTGGCCTCCAGTCACAATATTTTCACCAACCAATGAACACGTAACTTTTGTATGTGTGTGTTTCTGTTTAAAGCCACTTTATTGTTGATTCATCAACATTGAACTCAATGGCCAAAAACTCTACAACTCATTTGAATGAAGCTTACATGTATGTATTTTCTCCATAAGGTACCTACATCACAGTGTTCTTACACTTACGACCATTAGACAATACTGCAGCATGACACTTGATTTTGCACAGCAGAATCACCAAAAACACAAACAAGCATGGTGCTAAAGAGGCCAAGGAAAGGATATTTGCTTATAGTCTGAGAGCTAAAACAAGGCAACGGAGTCGCTGTTTCGCATCAGCTGGGCAAGTGTGCATCAGGTGGCTCAGATTTTTGCTGCTCTGTGCATGACCATGAATGGCCCTTAAAGCACCACGAGTATTGATTTGGGGATCATAAATAAAATTTAGCAAGTGGGCAAACTTACAAATACGGAGTCTATAAATAACGAAGATCAACTACTTTAAAAAAAATGTAGATTGACCTACTTCTTTTTTTAAAGATTTGATTTATTTTTAGAGAGGGGGGAAAGGAGGGAGAAAGAGAGGGAGAGACACATCAATGTGAGGGAGAAACAGCAGTCAGTTGCCTCACACGTGCCCCAAGGACCAAACCCCACAACCCAGGCACATGCCCTGAGCAGGAATCAAACTGGGGACCTATTGCTTGGCAGGACGACGCCCAACCAGTTGAGTCACACCAGTCAGGGCTCAACCTGCTTCTTAAAGTAGGCTTTAAGAAGAGGCTAATCACAGAAACCAAGGCGCCTGGTTTTCTTACCGTTGGCGGAGAAATTAGCTGAGAAGAAAAGGCGGTGACAAGTGCAGACTCTGGAAGCAGCGTGAGTCTGCATCCCTGCTCCACCCACAACAACCATGCACCCAGGGCCAGGCCACTGAAAGCTCCTGACCTCTCTGTGGTTCAGCTTCCTCCTCTATAAGATCAAGGTAAGAATGGTGCTGTGAAGATTAAAGAACACAAAGGCAGCCTAAGGGATAGGAGAAAATATTTGCAAATCTGTATCTGATAAAGGGTTAATATACAGAATGCATAAAGAACTCATACAACTCAACCAAAAAAAATCTTTTTAATGAGCAAAGGACTTGACTAGACATTTGCCAAAGGAGATATATAAATGACCAATAAGGCAATGAAAAGATGCCTATCAGAAAAAGATTTAATCATTGGGGAATTCAAATCAAAACCATAGTGAGATACCACCTCATACCCATTAGGATGGCTATTAAAAAAACACACACACAGAACCCCAGCTGACGTGGCTCAGGGGACTGAGTGCCAGCCTGTGAAGCAAAGGTCACTGGTTCAATTCCCAGTCATGGCACATGCCTGGGTCGTGGACCAGGTCCCCAGTGTGGGACGTGCAAGAGGCAACCACACATTGATGTTTCTCTCCCTTTCTCTCTCCCTCCCTGCCCCTCTGTCTAAAAATAAATAAATAAAATCCTTAAAAAACAACACACAGAAAATAATCATTGTTGGCAAAGATGTGGAGTAACTGGAACTCCTATGCACTTTTAGTGAGAGTGTATGATGATGCAGCCACAGTGGGCACAGTATGGTGCTTCCTCAAAATATGAAAAATAAAAACTACCACATGACCCAGCAATCCCACTTCTGCATATATATCCAAAAGAACTGAAAGCAAGTTCTTGAAGAAATATGTGGCCCTGGCTGGTGTAGCTCAGTGGATTGAGCATGGGCCTGTGAAACAAAGGGTCTCTGGTTCAATTCCCAGTTCAGGCCACATGCCTGGGTTGCAGGCCAGTTCCCAGTAGGGGACACATGAGAGGCAACCACACATTGATGTTTCTCTCCCACTTTTTCTCCTTCCCCTCCCCTCTCTCTAAAAATGAATAAATATGTGTACACCCAAGTTCACAGCAGCATCATTCACAACTGCCAAAACACAGAAGCAACCCAAGTGTCCATTGATGAATGCATAGAAAAACAAAACGTGACATATACAGACAATGGAATATTATCAGCCTTGAAAAGGAAGGGAACTCTAACACATGCTATGACATGGGTGAACCTTCATGAAGCTACTGAAATAAGCCGGCCACAAGGACAAGTACCACACATTCCAGTCACAGGAGGTACCAAGAGCAGTCAAATTCACGGAGCAGAGCCATGGCTGCCAGCATTCTGGGAGGGGGACATGGGGAGTCGCTGTTTAAGGCACATAGAGTTTCAGTTTGGCAAGATGAAGAATTTCCCAGATCACAGAAATGTTAGTGTACTTAGTTAACACTACTGAACTGTATACTTACAAATGGTTAAGATGGAATATAGTACTATTAACACAACACGTGGCACATAATAAGCACTCAATAAACTATTGCTCTGGTTTTTACCCTTTTAATGATTGTTTTTAAAACCTACATTGATGAAAGATAACAAAAAGTCCTTCAACCCGTGAATGGTTAAACGAACTATGATACATTCACCCCATGGAATAAAACTCAGCAATTTTTAAAGTCAAAGTAACAACTTGGATGGATCTTAAAGGTCATGATGTTGAGTGAAAAAACACACCCAATCCCAAAAAGCCACATATTAAATAATTCCATTTCTATAACACTTTCAAAACGACCAAACTGAACTGATAGAGAACAGATTGTTGGTTGCAGGGTTAAGGGAGGGAGTGACTTTAAGGGGCTAGCACAAGGAAATTTCTTTGGGATGATGGAAAAGTTCCATAACCCAACTTTGGTGATGATTTCTTTCTTTTCTTTTTTAAGGTTTTATTTATTTACTTTTAGAGAGAAGGGAAGGGAGGGAAAAAGAGAGGGAGGAACTTCAAACATTGATCAGCTGCCTTTGGCATGCCCCCAACCAAGCACCAGCCCACAGCCCAGCCATGTGTCCTGACCGGGAATCGAACTGGTAACCTTTCGCTTTGGAGGATGACGCTCAACCAAATCAGCCACGCCAGTCAGGGCACTGGTGAGGGTTTCATAGGATAAATTTTAATTTCTTAGAACTATATTTCAAAGGAAAATGTATGTGATCTAAAATCTGGTGAAATTGAAATAAGATGTGTATAATATTGTACTAATGTGAATTTAATGATTTTGATAATTGGCATTAAGAAGCCACTATTTGCCCTGGCTGGTGTGGCTCAGTGGATTGAGCACAGGCCTGTGAAGCCTGGGGTCACCGGTTCGATTCCCGGTCAGGGCACGTGCCTGGGTTGCAGGCCACGTCCCCAGTAGGGAACACATGAAAGACAACCACACGTTGATGTTTCTCTTCCACTCTTTCTCCTTCTCTTCCTTTCTCTCTAAAACTAAATAAATAAAATATTTTTAAAAAAAAGAAGCCACTATTTTTGCAACTTCTATGTGAATATAAAATTATTTCAAAATGACAAGTTTAAAGAAACAAATGACATAAAAAAAAAAGAAAGAAAACTCCATTCCAGACCCTCTTTTATGCTAAAAAAGAAACGAGTCAGATATGGGCAAGATATTAAAGAAAGTGAAAGAAAAACACAAAACAGATAACTTTATAATGAGTTTTACTACACATGCAAGGGTTTCTGGAAAACATCTGCATCACCTGTTATTACTAAGAGCACTATACAACCACACAAGTTGTCAGATGACTGAGCTTCAAGTCTGGCAACAAGTATTCAAAACGTGTAATAATAAACACTTTCACACACTTTCATACACTCTCACTGGAGTTGTTACCTGAGAGGGAAGTAACTGTGTTTGGTAAATGCCATGTATTTTCAGCACACACTCCAGATACATCAGAAAATTGTAATATGCCACACTTGTGGGACAACCAAGATAAAGGTACATTGTTCTCTTGCCCAGAACAGAAAATGACTCACATGCAGTGCCATTCAGGGAATCCCCAGGACGCACAGCACTCAGCATAAAACCAGCATCATGGCAATGACTTGTTAGAGAAATGATACAAAGCCTAACCAGGAACAGGAAAAGGTGCATGACGTGGAGCGAAGGGGGAAGTCTGGAGGAAACCCAGCACAAGCTTCCAAGGTGGAAGGACTGGGCTCTGGGGCAAGAGGTAAGGGAGAAGAGGAGGAATGTGCCAGAAAACTAAACTGGAGCTTCCAATGAGATCAAAGGAAAACCAGGATGGATGTCTGAAAGGAAGTAGGAAAAAGTGGATTAGAAAAAGAGAGTGACCAGCAATATGAAATGCTGCTGACACATCATGAAGAATGAAGACTCAGGGGATGGGGGTACAAGCTCCACTGGGAGATTCGGCCAAGGACAGAAATCAGCAGGCTCACCCACAAGCAGGGGAGCCTTTGCACACATTCTGCGCCAGCCAGTTTAACAGGAGTCTTCAAGGAAGAGGGGAAGATCTGTTGATCAAAGTGGTGTGACTGTTGTCGTCACAGGGTCTGCCACAGAGCACACCAAATACCCAAGCAAGGATTAAAGAGATGAGTTTTTCCCATCAGTGCTATTGAATGACATGTAAAAAAGCAAAACGCTTACATAAGGGACCAGAAGAGACACAGCTGCAGCTGGAATATAAACACACATAACTGGGCCCAGTGAAAATAGCTATTACGTGAAAATGGCCTTAAAAACCTTTGTTATTCAACAAACTTTTTTAGCTTCCTAGAATAAAGGGGAAAAATCTGCAATGTAAAAACTAACTCTCCGACATTGTAAATGGAAATGTTCTACATCATGCACTAATTTCTCCTGGTCTTCTGTCATAAAATTAAAGACATTCCCTGATTTAAAAAAATAGCACAGGCAACACTGGCTTCCTTCCGGTTTCTCCCGCTCAATGGATGTCCCCTTCGTCACCCAGCACTTCATTGGCTTCTGAAAGTCCTCCTTTCCCAGGCGGTTTACCTCCTTGCGGTCCCTGCATCAGCAGCACAGCATCACCTGAAAGCCTTCTAGAACTGCGGAACCCCAGCGTGCCCCACCCAACTTCCCAGGTGATTCGCATGCACCTTAAACTTTGAAAAGCACTGGCTGAACTGGCAGCTGATAGCCTATGTGGATGTTTTCTTAAGAGTATGGCACTTCTTCCCTCCCCACCCTGCCCTTTCTTTTTTCTGGGATACCTGCCACAAGTTACCTTTCCAAAGCTTGAAAAAGACTTATTTTTTCAACTCACAATGCTTTAACAGCTAGAAGGCACCCATCAACCAGCTGCTCCTCTCATTCTACAGGAGAGATCCAAAGAGGTTATGACTCTCCTAAGCCACACAACCAATGGCAGCACACCGCTTCCTGGACTCTAGATCCCTGTTTTATTGGGCTGCCACTGCCTGCAATTTAATTGAAAAAGCATAGGTCAGTGAAAGGATTTCTTTGTTTTGCTTTATATTTTTTTTCATTTATTGATTTTTAGAAAGACAGAGGAAGGAAGAGAGATATCAGTCGGTTGTTCCACTTATTTATGCATTCGTTGGTTGATTCTTCTGTGTGCCCTGGCCAGGAATCAAATCTGCAACTTTGGCATATGGGGATGACACTCTAACCAACTGAGCTACCTGTTCAGGGCCTACTTTATGATAATTTTTAAAAGGAAGTGGGGACAATGCTAATTGAAACCTAGGTCCAACAAATGGCTCTTCCTCACAAGACCACAACTACCTTAAGCCACTTTGTTCCCAGGGCAAAACATGGGTAATGCATAGCAAAAGTGCATAAATTCCATTATATCCAAATTCTTCACACTGGTTCCCCATGTGCTGGGTGGTATGGTGTACCATTGTGAATGATAATTGATTACATAAGAACATAAGGCCTTATATTCTTAAAAAGTGAAGGAACAACAGGAAAACCAACTATTTGGGCCGATGGTCAGTACCCAGTACTAGTCCCCAAGTGCTTCTCTCTGATTTGAAAGACAGACGCACAGGAAGGCATGCTGCCGACTCTCAAAAACAGTGAGAAACCGAACACTCACTCATCTGTGCTCGGCTGGCACACCACTGATTCCCTTTCCAAAAACTGCTGAACTTTAAAATGACAACTTAGCTGCAGGACAACAGATAACAAAGTTCCTTTCCACTTTGGTCTTAAAGATGGGTGTGATAGCAAGTCTGAACAACTTAAGGCTGACAGATATCTTTGTTTGAATGAAGTCCTGAGATAGGCTACAACATGGCTGGACCTTGAAAACATTATACTAGGAGAAAGAAGCCAGACACAAAAGGCTACCTATTGTATGATTCCATTTACATGGAATGTATAGAATAGCAAATCTAGAGAGACAGAAAGTAACTAATTAGTGGTTGCTTAGGTTTGATGGGATGAAAGCACAGGAAAGTTATAGGGGAAAGATGAAAGGTTTCTTTTTGAGTGATGAAAACATTCAAAACTTTCAGTACGACTGATGGTTGCACATATCTGTGAATATACAAAAAAAACACTGAATTATACCTATTAAAAGTGTGAGTTATATAGTCTATGAATTATGATTCAATAAGGCTGTTATTTTTTAAAGAGCAAATGGTGTTGGATATATGAGGGGTTGTTTCTGAGTATTCCTTATGCTTTTGTTTATGTTTTAATTTTCCCATAATAAAAAATAATAAAGTTCCCTTTTTTAAAGTAAGATACTCCCATATTTTGGTCACATTTCCCACTCTCTCGGAAGAACCATGAGCACATTAAATTCAGAACGTCAGCAAAATACACTTAATCCTTCCTGTTAAAAGAACCACCATCACACTGAGAAAAAGAAAAACTAGCCATAAATTAAGAATTTTCCAAGCTCAGAAACATACAGGCCTTGACTTTAAGATATTATGGTAAACAGCAGGTAGAGGAAGTCAGTTACTGGCAGGCTAGGAAGAAGATAAAGAAAAATAATAACAGGGCATTTTTCAATCATGAAACCTGGCTTTTCTGTTACAAAAAAACCAAAAAGTATTCCAAATAACAAAAAATTAAGTGTGTATAAAATTGGCTTTTAGTTGGTTTAGTCTTAAATCAAAAGAAGGAACAAGAGGCCCTGGGTGGTGTGGCTCAGTGGATTGAGTGCGGGCCTGTAAATAGAAAGATACCTGGTTGGATTCCTGGTCAAGGCATGTGCCTGGGTTGCGCACAGGCCAGGTCCCCAGCTGGGGGCGCACGAGAGGCAACCACAGGTGGATGTTTCTCTCCCCCTCTTTCTCCCTCCTTTCCTCTCTCTCTAAAAGTAAATTAAAAGTTTTTTAAAGAAGAAACAAGAATTCATATTTCATCCCCTATTCATTCAGTGTTGAGTTCCAACTCCATGGTGCGTTTCTATTTCTAAGCAAATGAAAAACAAAACCCAGAAATCGGGTTTTGAATGGCCATCATCTTCCTTCCCGGGAAAGGAAGTGAATAACTACAATTTACTAATCATTGACTAGTCCCAGGCAGTGTTCTCAGTGCCTTGCAAGTATTCTGTTAATCTTCCTAACAGAATACAAAATAAATCATAGGTAGTGTTATTCGGGTATCCCTTGCATACAGAAAGGTTAAGAAACCTGCCCAAGGGCTCACAACTAGTAAGCAGTGGAAGCAGCACCCCAAACCAGGCTGTCTGCTCCAGAACCTAGACCCGTGCAGCCACACCACAAAGACCGAAAGGCTGCACCTCTGTTCATAGTAACTGTAATCCCTGCAAGTTCAAAATGGGGAAAAGCAGTTTATACATTTAATTAAATTGTTAAAGGATGATTAGAAAACAATAATTTGAGGGTTTTAACAGGTGCATACCTACAAATAGCTACAAAAGACTGACTTCATTTGCCTCATTAGAATGATAAATAGAAGATAATCTCTTTATCCTCTAAGCTCCAGAAATTCTCTTCCCTACTTATCACTTTACACTTTTGTTTTGTTTTGAATACCTACTTACACACAAACTATCTAGCACACAGAGTCTGCTCAGACTAAGTTTTTATTTAAGATATGCATGTTCTAACACCCCATTGGCCTGGTGCTACAATACGGAAGGATGGCCAGAGAAAAATGTCTGTGCAGTGACAACCCCACGCATCCTGTGCAGGAACATGTGGTCAGGAAGGCAGATTCTGGGATTAGGAGGCTGAGGCTCTGACACAGCTGTTGTTCCTATTTGCAGCTTCGCTTTCTCTGGGCCGTGCTAATGCCGCCGCCAATTCTGCAAAATAAGGACCCCAGGTCTTCCAGTCCAAGAAAGATGACACACGCGCATACAGGCAGAAGAATGTTGCTTTTGAAGACATAATAATAAGGGTTCAGTGTTGGAACCCTTCAATAAAAGACACAAAAGGCAGCACAGGAGAGGGAGTCTTTCTGACCCCATACTCCAGGGATGTGACCTCAGACAAGTTCCTTACCTCCCAGTCTCCCAATTGTTCTGGGTAGGGGAGGATAAAATGGCCTAACACCTGTAACTGCTTAGCTCAATACCCAACCCACAGGACACATTAGATAAATGTCAGTGGTAACTTACAAGAAGTAATGGTGGTGCTGGTGTGCTGTGAGCAAGACAAAATTACACGGGCCAATATGACCCTCTGGCCTGAAGTTTAAATGGGACATTCAAAAGACTGACAGTAATCTTTCATAGAAACGTTGTCAATCAGCAGAGATGTTTTATAAATTCGTGTATTTCAATATTTTTGAGAAATATTTGGAAGTCTTAATTCTGCAAGATAAGACTTGCTTATGTACATCAAACAGTGTACAGGAATGTTCAACCTGCTGCCTGTGAGCCACATGCAGCCCAGGGTGGCTATGAATTCGGCCCAACACAAAATCGTACATAAATTTACTTAAAACAGTACAAGATTTTCTTTGTGATTACGTATTGCAATGTATTTAATGTGTGACCCAGAGATGCAATAAGTTGGGCACCCTTGGAAAACTTTTAAAATTACTATATACTATTGATAGACTTTTTCCCTTCAGTGATGTTTCCATCGATAAGTTGTATGATAAACATTAAGTATAATTGTAACTTAAGGACAACAACTACACAAAGTGAAAAATTCCTTAAACTCCCATAAATAGCTTGTAAATTATTTGCAAATTTGTTAAAGTTTTTTAAGATTCTTCTGAATAATGGTTCAGTCTATTCACCAAAAAAATCTAAAAATTATTCTCATGTTCTCAACTTACATATTTCTAATAAGTCAGAAAAATCTCTCCCTCTCTGAATGCTGGCAGACTTTAGTTAAGACTCAAAGTTTCGTGCATGTGTGTGACATGGTTTCATTTTTTTAAGTAAAAGTGAGCTAGGGAAAAAAAAACTTTTAATTTCTCCAGGAAATCTTAGTCAACTTCAGAACTTGGCTGGAGGAGGGAGATGCTAATAAAATCGGGTCAGTTCGTCGACACTGCTGTGGTCTGCAATGTAAGGGGAGAATGGGAAGCAATAATCCTATTGCAAGAAGGAATTAGAGGGTATAAGTACATGCATCCCACTTCAGTCATACGCTGGGAACTCCTTTGACCATTTGCTCACAAGACCTGTTAAAGTATCACAGGAGCAGGATGCTCATGCACCACGTGACATTCCTGAATGCAATCTTTAAGAATTCTTACCACTCTTTCTGTAAAATGTTTACAGGACGTCACACAAATTGTGCCCATAGTTGTGTTTCGTTTTGTTTTCAATGCAAACATCCTTCCTAAGAAACCTATCACCCTATATCCCCCCCAAACCATTACATGGCATCGGAGGATCAATTTTGCCCACAAACAAAACTCGCAAAGGGAATCCATGCCCCCGATGTTTAATACCACACCTACATTCTTACCTGATGCCGAATCAGGTGGGTCCTGCCCCACCTTTCTTCGAACTCTCTTTCCGCAGATTTCCCTTTAAGGATGCCAGCCAGGGTCCTGGGGAACGACGAGAGCGGGAGCGGAGAGTGCAGAGAAAAGCAACCCTAACTTCGCTACTCCTTCTGGTTCTCCGGCTTAAACTCGTTCCACGTCCCAGGCAAAGAGCACTGCCAGCTCCACAGAGTTGAAGAGATCACCCCAAGGAGCTCCTCTGCATCCCTTCTCTGTCACCCCCGAGACAGGCGGGGAAAACGGCATCGACCCCTCGGAAGAGACCAGGCAAGCAAGAACAACGGCAAAAGCTGCAGCTCACAAAGAAGAGGACGTGATGAAGGAGGAGGCAGTGAGTGAGATGTAGCAGAGAAAGGACAGCAGCAGCGGAAGGGACACCTCCCGGGTCCCGCCTAACTCCAAGCCATCTTCGCCCTGTTGTCATAGCACTTTTCAACGAAGGCTACTGCACAAGTCTGATGGCTGGCCCCGGTGCCTTCTGGGGGATGTAGTCCAGAGAGGCTAAGGAGACGGAAAGAGAAATATTTTTCTGAGTAGGCGGTGCTGGGAGTCAGATTTCTACTGGGCGGGGCTGGAATGAACCACTGCTGGGTGCTCATTAGCCGAGAAAGATAATTAATCAAATTCCCTCTGCAGTCCTTGGACAGTTCTTCGATTTGTGCGCTGAGGTAGATTCGCCACCCGTCTCCACCTCGGACTCTAGCAGCAACCCTCTAGCTCCTTCTCTGTCCCCGCCCCTCGGGGCTGGTGGGTGGGGCTTTTTGCGGGGGGGGGGGGGGGGGGGCGGTCGTCAACGCCTTTCTGCAGGATCCCGGTTCGGAGGACCAAAACCTCTAGGAGCGACCTCATCTTTTCCCTTAAGAGACCTACGAGGCTCTGTCCAGCTGGGCTGCAGTGGCCCAGGTGGGCGCAAGGGTAGTGCTTACCTGAAAGAGGACGTCTGGGTGAAAAGGGGATCAGAAGACTAAGTTCACTGAGATGGTGGGGCAAATTTGTGGGTGTTTAACTTTTTGCCTGGTGGAAAAAGTGCTTATAAAGCTATCTGTACATTTCTCCTGATCACGTGCTAAATATTCTTTTTCGTATGTACATTGGATTGATTTCCTAGTATATAGGTATGCAAATATTCAACTTTACAATTGAACATAACAATAATGCCAAATTTTCAAACTTTTTTTCATCTGTTAACCACTGGCGCCATATCAACACCAACAGGAATCCCCAAATGGGGGTGCTGTCGATTCATGGCAAACAGCTCAATTATGATACAGCACAGCTGTAGGACAGCTCAGTGGTATTACAACTCAACAACCACCTGGCACAGCTGTGGCAAAGAGGCAGCCCTGGGAGATGCTCCAGTGAGATGTCTTCAGCTTCAAAGGGAAAAATACAGCCTTCAGGGGAGAGGGAAAGCCCACTCCTCAATCCAGAGGGGAACTAACCTATCTAGAAAAAAGTCCAAGCACGCTAGCACCTTTCCCTTCCACCTCCTACTCCCCCACAGACCTTCAACTCAAACTCTAAAGGCCCCCACGGGATTTGCAACCAGGGGAGCTTTGGGGGTGCAGCAGCACTTCCTCTGCTAACACCCTGAACTGTCTCCAAGGCCCACTTTTCTCTGCCCAGTGAGCTGACAGCAGCCCTGCCTAGTCTATCCTGTTGCTTCCTAGGCACCTCTTTATTTCAGGGTCACCAGCTTTAATAAACACACCCTCAAAATAAAAATAATAATAATGAAAAAGAAAATCCTACTCCTGATCCATCATTGGTCCATCCTCATGTACATGAGGACTCCAAATTTTCACAGTTTGGCCCAAACAGCACTGTTCAGATTGGTCAGAATGGAGCTGCTCTGATTGGTCAGGGATATAGCTGTGCAGCTTTGATTAGACTCAGTCCTATTGGTTCAGCTGGGATTCCAGGCTCTCATTTATAAAGACTGCCTCAGCCATTTCCCCACACTGTGCAGGCAGGCAGTTCAGGGTAAGAGGCAAGTCCAGTAAAATCTTTTCCCTGAAACTGGCTTGTCCGATAGGCCCCTATTTAGAAATGACTGCTATTTTAATTTTTCTTTTTTAAAATTTAAACCCAGTTAGCCAGCAAGAGTGATTTCTTGGTAGTTGTCTTCTTTCTCAGGGTCTACACATCTTTGCTTTCAAATTTAGTGTAGGTATAATACCCTCCTGGTAACCAACCTTGAAACTTTTTTCACTGGATTTTAGCTTACGCTGTAAAGGTCCTGTTTGGCACCACCAATTCACATTACCCTAGAAAATGAATTCTAAGTTACTTTTCTTAAAGATATTAGTATTTCATAATCATGAAAAGCATTAATTTTTAATACTTATATTAAACCATCAAACAACGCGAGGGGAGCCTCCTCCTGGCCCAGAGAGGTCCTCAGGAAGGAGAAAAGGACTCCCAACGTCCCACCGCCGGCATCCCCGGCCCTCAGCTGCCGCCAGGGGGCGCAATCCCACCTCCAGCACAGACCAGCCAGGCAGCTGGCCGGCGCTCCCAGCCAGTACTCAAGGCCGTGCCTCCGGTGGATGACCCGGGCGGCGGCAGAAGGGGGCGCTGCGGTGACCTGGCGGGCTAGGCGCGGAGGAAGTGTCGTCCTCGCCGCCGCCTGAGCGGCGCGGGCAACAATGTCGTCGCGGTACGGGCACGTTGACTCGGGGGCCGGGGGCACACGGCGGCCGCGGGAGCCGCGGGAGCCGCGGGATCAGGAGCTGCAGCGGCGCCGGGAGCAGAAGCGGCGGCGACAAGACGCGCAGCAGCTGCAGCAGCTCAAGCACCTGGAGTCCTTGTGAGTCACCGCCCGCCTCCGGGCTACTGCGAGGAATGGGTGCCGCCTGGGCGCCGCAGCCCGAGACCCGCCTGTAGGGGGCAGGCGGCCCCCTATCCCGAGTTCCCGATCCCAGGCGCCTCGCACTGGCCTTGCAGCCGCCCTACAAACCGGAGGGAAGTCGGTGCCCGGCACCCCCCCCCCCCCCCCCGCCACCAAGGCCTCCTGAGTCGGGAGGGAATGCAGGCCCCACCCCCAGGTTCCGGGGCACACGCGGAGGACTGGGGCAGGGGGCGCTCTCGCAGCGCGCAGCGGCTGTTGCTGTCCACTTTCCGCGGTGTCCGAGTTTCGCCTGGGCTCTATTAGGTGCTCTCTCTGGATCTGGATCTCTCATCTGGAGACGAGAAGTGCGCTTCGGTCCCTGTCCTTTAACGGTGTTCAGGTCTCAGGGCCTTCTGTGACTGCTATACAGTCTTTTTGTTTTTGTTACTAAGGGAAGAGAAAACGCAGTCCTTCTTACGTTAGTGCGGTAAGAATAAACAAAGGGGTGAGGGACCTGTCCCTAACTACTGTGAAGGTGGCTGGACAGGTAGAAGAGTATGTAGACTTGCTCTCCAGCCCTGAGGACTTTACCCGGATTAGGAGTGGAAGCTACCAAGAGGCTGATTCCAGCTCAGGAAAGAGTTAGGACACACATACACTCTTGCAGGTGAGCCTAGCCCGACTTAGGAGGCACTGGGCTCCCAGCTCCTGAGGGGTCAAGAAGGGTCCAGGTAACCACTGGGAGGAGGGTAGGTTGTGAAGGACATTGAAACGTCAGGTGGGAGGAGGTTGTGTTAATGACCTTCCCGTTGTCATTCTGGGGTCCTGTAAGCAGCTGTAGGAGTCAGTGCCTCTTGAGCTTTGACACACGATGCATTGCTTTCTTGGAGCCCAGTCTGCTCTTTCCAGTGTGGTCCTTGAGCTGAATGTCACCCCAGTAGGGCAGTGGTTGGGGGATAGGGCCCTTGTATGGCAGGCACCCACAGTCCTGGCCCCGTCAGGGACTCTATTGACTCATTCCGTCTGCTCAATAAGCAGATATTCAAAAATCTTTCCCAGCTTAAGCTCAAGTAGGGCCTAGCCCAGCCCAGCCCAGCCCAGCCCAGCCCAGCCCACCTCACCTCTCAATATCTTTAACTGTAGGGTGCCAGACAGTGGTTAATACCATATATTTATTGTGTAACTCACAGGCATCAGAGAGATTATAACCTCCCTTTTGCAGATAAGAAAGTGCAGGTTCAAGAGTTAACTGACCTGATCAAGGAATCATCAACCTATAAACAGTAAAACTAAAAAGGAACCCAGGTGTCTGATTCCCAGACCAATGAGATTTTTCAGTTTGCAACTTAAAACTTTCTGGTTGCTCACTTATTTGGTTTGGCTAGTTCTGAAACTTGTTTACATTTAAATAAAAATTTATATTTCCAGAGTCATATAGTTCAAATATCAAATACTCCTAAAAGACCAATTAAAAAGGGGGCAGGGAGGAAGTGGTTCTGCATCCCTACCCTTCATTCACCCCACACACTTCACAATCTCCCTGCATTCCTTCCTGCTTCTAAGAGTCTCAATTGGTAAACTTTCAGGGTTTTTTCCCTACTGGGATTCAACTACATATTTCTAAATTATGTGCTTATGTATGTGCTTATGTATGCTTTTTTAAATTAAATAGACATTTCCTAATAACCTCATGTCATAGGTGAGGCTTCAGTTCTCTTTCCCTAACTTTCTAGTCTCCACCCTCCCAATTATAATTTTGTTAAATCAAGTTGGTGTTAACATTATTATAACTTTGCAGTACTTTTCACCTGTGAGCCAAATGGTGTTCTATGATTTCGCTTTCATACCAGTGTTGTTTTTCAGGTAGTAAATACGAGCCTCAGGGTTTTTTTCTTTTCATTTGCTTAATTTCCTATTACTGAGTGCTAATTTTATTCCAAAGGGTCTGAAACTGAGAGTACTTTTTTCCACATCAGAGCATCTGTTAATTAACTTTTTTAAACCTAGAATCTAACTTCTGTTCTCCTCCAGTAGACTCTGGTTCCCTTCTAGACCCGGTGTACAGCAGCCATCCTGCAACTGCCTCCACCACTGTCTAGTCTCGGATCCCATTCTTGGATCCCCTATCTTCCTCCTTCTGTCCTTACCTCATTTTATTGAAGCACATTCAGTAACTTCCTATAAAAAAGTGCATTCTGGGTAAATTTGTTGAGTCTTTTCATGCCTGAAAATTGTCTTTATTCTCTCACGGAAAGAGTTTGGCTAGGTGCAGAATTCCAGGTTAAAATTATTTTCGCCCAACATCAGAGTTGGTGCGCACCATTTTTAATTCCCAATATTACTCAGAAATCTGATGCCACTCTGGTTCCCTTTCTTGTACAAGTCACTTGTTCTATCGCGCCCTGCCTTTGGAGGCTTTAAAGACTTCTTCATCCTTGGTACTCTGCAGTTTTATAATAATGTAAACTTTTTCCTCACTGGATTTTTTTTTTAATTCATCCTCTCCCTGGATTCTTAAAAACTTTTTCTTAACATTTCAACATCTCATGGCTATTGAATATTCACACATGATTTGTGTTTTAATTTCCTTCCCTCCATTTTGTTTTTTTCCTTAGACTTCTGTTGATCCTCTGTCTTTTCTCTCCTATTTTACATCTTTTTCTTTTCATTCTACTTTCTGTAAGATTTATCTTCCAATACTTCCACCATTGCACTTTAAGTTCATTATATTTTTAATTTTCAAGAGATTTTCTTTGTTCTTAGAATTCTTGTTTTCATAGGATCCTACTGTTAATTTTATCAATGACATAGCTTCTCTCATCTTTGAGGATACTCATTAGTTTTTGTTTTCTTCACCTTCCATTGCCTATTTCTTATTTGCCTTTTTTTAAATCTTTTTTATTTTAATTTTTATTTTACTTTATTTTATTTAAATATATTTTATTGATTACAACCATTACAGTTGTTCTATTCCCCCCTTCATTCCCCTCCACCCTGCATACTCCCTCCCCCACCGTTCCCCTTTAGTTTATGACCACGTGTCTCAAGTTCTTTAGATTCTATATTTCCCATATTATTCTTGCCCTCCCCCCTATTTTCTACCTACAGTCTATGCTACTTATTTTCTGTACCTTCTCCCCCCTTCTCCTTCTCCCACTCCTTTGTTGCTAACCCTCCATGTGATCATTTCTATGATTCTGCTCCTGATCTAGCTATCCTTTTAGTTTGCTTTTGTTTTAGGTGTGGTTGTTAATAACTGTGAGTTTGCTGTCCTTTCACTGTTCATCTTTTTTATCTTCTTTTTCTTAGGTAAGTCCCTTTAACATTTCATATAATAAAGGCTTGGTGATGATGAACTCCTTGAATTTGATCATATCTGAGAAGCACTTTATCTGCCCTTCCATTCTAAATGAAAGCTTTGCTGGGTAGAGCAATCTTGGATGTAGGTCTTTGGATTTCATGACTTGGAATACTTCTTTCCAGCCCCTTCTTGCCTGTAAGGTCTCTTTTGAGAAATCCGCTGACAGTCTGATGGGAACTCCTTTGTAGGTGACTGTCCCCTTATCTCTTGCTGCTTCTAGGATTCTCTCCTTCATTTGAATCTTGGCTAATGTAATGATGATGTGCCTTGGTATGTTCCTTCTTGGGTCCAACTTCTTTGGGACTCTCTGAGCTTCCTGGACTTCCTGGAAGTCTATTTCCTTTGCCAGATTGGGGAAGTTGTCCTTTATTATTTGTTCAAATAAGTTTTTCACTCGTGGATGTTCCTCTTTCCTTCTGGTACCTCTGTAATTCGGATGTTGGAGCGTTTAAAGATGTCCTGGAGGTTCCTAAGCCTCTCCTCATTTTTTGAATTCTTGTTTCTACATTCTTTTCTGTTTGGTCATTTTTTTCCTCTTTCTGGTCCACTCCTTTGATTTGAGTCCCAGTTTCCTTTCCATTACTATTGGTTTCCTGTGCATTTCCATTCATTTCAATTAGTTTAGCCTTCATATGTTCCTGTAATTTGTGACTAAAATCAACCAGTTCTGTGAGCATCCTTATCACCAGTGTTTTGAACTGTGTATCTGAAAGTTTGGCTATTTCTCCATCACTTAGATTTATTGGCTCTGGGGCTCTGAGTTCTTCTGGAGCCATGTTTTGATCTGTTTGTGCTTGTTAGGTATGACGAGCAGAGCCTTAGTTGTTCACCAGGGTGGGGCCACCCAGGTCACTGGTTTGTGACGCTGTAGGTGGGGGCGGGTCAGAGAGGGACTATGGCAGTCCCCTCTGCCACTTCCTGCCACTGGGGCCTGCACCGTCTGTCTCACCGCTCCCTCCTTCACCGGTTTATCTGTGCACAAATGTGTGACCGTGGTCAGCCCTCAGTGAGTCCACCCACAGCTGCCGGTGTGCCCGGGTCTTGCACCCGGGTCAGTCCGGTGGATCTTTCCTGCCTGACCCCACTCTGCTGCTGGCTCTGCCCCTCTTACCGGTATGGCTGAAGGGTTCATTGTTGTCAGACTTCCGTGAAGTTCAATTTTCTGTGGTTTTAGCTGTGTTTTTGTTGCTAAAACTTTGTTGTTTTTAAACTTGGTTTCAGGAGGAGGCACAGTGCTTCCACCTATGCCTCCATCTTGGCGGAAGTCTTTTTTTTAATCTTTTTCACTGAGAGGTTTTTTCCTACTGTGTAGGGATCCTTAGGTCTTCCTCATTAACAATAAGGCATTATAGCCCTATCCCTTGTGGCTCAGTTGGTTAGGTGTTGTCCTGCAAATGGAAAGGTCACCGGTTCAATTCCCAGGTACGGCATGTGCCTAGGTTGTGGGTTCAGTTCCCAGTCAGGCCCTATACAAGAAGCAACCAACCAAAGTGCTCTGACAGAGAACTGAACCAGCAAGCTTTCGATTCAAAGGCTGGTGCTCAATCCACTGAGCCACACCTACCAGGGCCACATCTGTTATTTTTAATAGTTAAGTATCACCTTACTATTTGAAAAATATCTTTTTAAAATGCTGCATAAACTAGGAATTTTTCCTAGGGCTAAAGAATTCCTTTAGCCCTAGGAAAAAACACTAACCTTATGTCTTTAAATTTGTGGAAACAGTTGGAAAATGTACCTTTTAGGGAAGGCCATTGCTGATAATAATAGATTTCAAAATACGCAGTTCCACCCAATTCCTTTTTCGTCTAGGAAAAAGCATTTACATACTGTTCAGGAATTTAGATCTTAGCTTGCTTGGCCATATGTTATTTGTACAGCTCCTACGGCAAAAAGAAAGCACTGTCAGAGTCAACTGAAAAACATCAGCTCAGTGTTTTGTCATCAAAAAGAATTTACTCGAGAAAAGGAAAGGGTTGCAACACAGTGCACAAAGACATGGCAAGCCACATGCACACTCCAGCCTGTGTCAAGATGGAGGAGCTTTTGTAGAAGAGAAATGGAAGTTTCGGAAGCTGGAACCAGAGCTTTATTATCAACATAGTTCTTCCGGTAGAGTTCTCCCATGGAGGGGCCTCCTGATGTCCAACAGTACCAGAACTTCCACAAGCCCTGCCTCCTCCCAGAGACCCTCCCCACTGATTATGTTTGCTACGATTTCCCTTAGTCTTTATCATCAGGTTGCAGGACATATACATAGACGGACCACTTGCCTTCCAGACTCCCCTGCCTAAAGCATCACTGTTGCTAGGGACTGGCTGCCAATGAAATACCGCCCCTTCCGAACTTGTGCAAACAGCTGCTGCTAAGAGAAGCCCGGGCTTAAGATATGCCACAGCTTTCCACTGGAAAATATTTTCAGTATTTGCTTTGGAAAACAGTATACCTAAAAAGTTATTTACTATGTAATCCTTCTCTTTTTTTTTAGGGAATGTAAATCATCTTTTTTCACTTTTTAAAAGTCTTGATTTTTACTGTATTTTTTCCATAACCACATATCCCCCTTAGGCCTCCTCCCCCCACAATCACCACACTGTTGCCCACACTGTGTAATCTTTAGGGAATAATTCCTCCTCTGTCCCTTAGAAAAGCTCTGGATTAGTGATGGTGAGAAGGAGCTCAGAGAAGGCTCCATCACACTCCTTATTTAGAAAGGTACAGAGAGGAAGCCAAAGGGAAGTGTTTCTTGCTGTGGCTGCTCATGGCACTTTTCATCCATCACCCAGTATGGAAGAAAAAACACTTCTGTTCTCCTTCTCTACACTCAAACTTCACTTACAACACCACACTATAGTCCAGCTATGTTGGGGTTTCCAACACCACCAAGCAACTCTCCTGTTCTCAGAGGACACCCAGGAGATGTCTTACACTTTAACTTAATTCTGACACTGTCTACCTGGAGACAGAACATCAGAACCTACAAGTTAAAGAAACAGTAAACAGTCCCACAAGACTGCTTCACCCACACACACTTTAGGTGCCAATCACCAAATCTAGATTGTCACCTGTGTTGCTGATCAGCTATAAATGAGAGGTTCCTGCAGCCCCCTCCTGCATTTTGGTTAATTTGCTAGAATAGCCCATGAAACTCAGGAAAACATTCACTTACTAGATTATTGGCTTATTATAAAAGGATGTAGCTCTGGGAGCAGCCAGATGGAAGAGCTAGATGGGCAAGAGACCTGGGAAGGGGCACGGAGCTCCCACCCATGCCCTCTGCAGGGCGGCCACACTCCACACGTTCACTTACCCAGAAGCTCTCTGAAACCCAACCTTTGGGATTTTATAGAGGCTTCATTACATAGGCATGATTGATTAATTTTTGGCATTGGTGATTAATTCAAGCACCCTAGATGCAGGACCGAAAGTCCAACCCTCTAATCACCTGGGTAGTTCCCCTGGCACCCAGCCCCCATCCTCAGGAGCTTTCCAAAAGTCAAAATGAAAGACGCTTCTTATAAATAACAAAAGAAACTATATTCACTTTTACTGCTCTAGAGTTTTATCAGGAATTGGGAACAGAACTCAGTATTATAGCAAAAGATGCCCTTATGGCTCGTATGAATGAATTACAAGGGTTTTAGGAGCTCTTTGCCAGGAGCAGTGGATGAAGACCAGGAATGTATTTCTTATTACAAATCAGAATATCACACCACCAAACAGATGTTTTTGTTCACATCTTACTTCCCCCTTACCCAAGCCATGCTAACCACTGTACCCCCATATTTACCTTCTTTTAATGGTCTTTACAGTGGGTGTATAAGAAAAGGGTCTGGATGAGGAAAACATTAAATCCTTGTTAGAAGGGTTTTAGCCACCCTATTTGATGTTGAATAAGGGAAAGTTATGCTAGGTAAACAACCTGACCGCTATAACAGTTTGGAACCATTAACAACTCACAGGTCTTCTTACCTCATATTCTCCCTGTACTCTCTTGCTTTCCCTTCTTCCGAAAATAAAATTATTGTGCTAAGACCCAAGTTAGTTGTTATTTCAGTGAATTTAAGTTTGAGATCTCAACATAATGTGGTATACCATCATTTAATTACCTGTGATCTCGAGTGCTGGCCATATTTTATTAACTTTTAGATAAAACGTACTTTTAAGTTTTTGTTAAAAAATATACTTTTTTCCCTGGCCAGGTGGCTTGGTTGGAGTATCATCCCATACACAAACAGGCTGAGGGGGTTCATCCCGGGTCAGGGGACATACAAGATGCAACCAATCAAGGTTTCTCTCTTCCCACCCTTCCTCTCTCTCTAAAATCAATGAACATAACCTTGGGTGAGAATGAAAAGTAATAATAATAAAATGTGTCATGTTCCTAGTAACACAGTTGACGGTGGTTTTTTTCTTTTCTTTCTAGTTACGAGAAACCTCCTCCTGGACTTATCAAGGTCAGTGTGAAGTTTGTCACTTCGGTTATTCTCCCAGGTGTGTCAGACTCAGTGCTCTGGCTCAGTCACTTGTTATGCAAACAGCTGCCTGTGGTTTTGAATCTCCTTCACAAGGATCCTGTTTCTTCCCTGCAGACGCCAGTCACACACTTCGGGCTTTCTCAGGAGCCTGGTCCTTTGTAGAAATTTCATCAGCCCAGTGTTTGTCCCTAGGAACCAGGGCAGGCCCATGTAAGCTCCTCAGCCATCGTCACTCCCTTCTCTCTCCTCCTCCAAGCTCTGCTGTCACGGTGCCAACTGACTCACCTGGTCCCCTAGGTGTCACCAGCTCAGAGACCAGCAGACCCTGGGGAGCCCTGGCGCTCATCCAGCCCCCACTCCCTGATGTAGGAGCCCCTTTTCCAGCAGCCTGGCCCAGGTCAGCCTCTCTGGGAGAGAGAGACTTAGAGGACTGGTTTAAGGCCAAAGCAGCCTTTTCAGTTTGCTAACATTCAATTTTTTTAAAAAATTCATTACAAACGTAGTATTCATGGAAATGTGGAAAAAAATCAAAAGGTTAAAAAATCATTAATTGTGTAATGCAATTCTTTTGTGGTGAAGATACATTTCATAAAAGTTAGCAGAAAACTTATAATCTTAGAATTAGAATTGGAGCTTACAAATCATTTCTGTGCACATGATTTCTGCATTACAAGCAAACACTAGTAACTTTTCTCTGAGAACAGCTGCTTCATTCTCATGATGTAATTCCTCTGGTGCAGTTATTTCCACTTGTCTGTCTGGTCTCATTGTCCTTCTAGTTCCTGGGAGGGTTAGTAAGTGGGAGCTTCACCCCCTGAGAAATCTGGGAGATGCTGCGTTCTGAAGCAGGTGGAAGAGAATTCCGTGCTTTTTGGCCGTATTGATTACACTGTTTTCTGTTTTAGGAAGATGAGACTAGGCCAGAAGACTGTATACCAGATGTACCGGGCAATGAACACGCCAGGGAGTTTCTGGCTCACGCACCAACAAAAGGCCTTTGGATGCCGCTGGGGAAGGAGGTCAAAGTCATGCAGTGTGAGTGCGGAAGTGCGTCCAGTCCTCCTGAACACACGCAAGTTACAGACCACGTGTCACAAAGCACATTTATCCTTCCCCTCACCTCGCTCTGTTAAAGTCACAGCATGATCTGTTTTCTAGATTCGGACACCAACTTGCACGTGTCAGTAAGTGGCCCGAGGTAAGAGGTGCAACAAAGGTGTGACTCCAGGGCTTCTGCCTCCCTTCCCACAGGATGGGAGTGCCTTCGGAGTGCACCCTCGTGTAGTATTCCTGCAACAGAAAGGGTCTTGTGAGGCAGCAGTGCCATGGGGGACAAGGGATGCATCAGGCGGCAGGTCCCTTTGGGTCTTGCCTCAGTCAGTCACCTCCGTTGGTGGTGTTGAAGTTCATCCTGAGAGGAGCCACAGGCCACAGAGGGTGGGTTTGGGATGGGCAGAGCTCTGCGTGCACACCCGTACCCCTCCAGAGCAGCAGCACCTGCGTCCTGCACAAGGTGGCATTTGAAGAAAGGGTCTGGCAGCCTGTTAAAGACATCTGCATGTACAAAGATGCTTTGTGCACATAATTAAAGTAGCTTTTCCCCATTCCCCTAACTTCAAAGTTAACCACCTGAACCTCTCTTAGGATTATTTTGAAGCTTAGCTTCACATTTTCTAAATAACATGATTATACAAGGGTGGGCAAAAATAGGTTTACAGTTGTAATATAAATAATACCATAATTAATAAATAATATAAGAGTGAACCCTCTCATGTACTCATAACTGCAAACCTACTTTTGGCTACTCCTGTATTCCTGCCCCTTGATTTTTCAGGTTTCTTCATTATCCGTTGACTTCTTCCTATACAAAACCCTCAGTTTTTGCTACGTGTCCTTACCTCTACGGATGTTTTATTAGAGCGGGCTCCCCCCAAAGCCAGTGATCTAAGAGACAGCAAGGTGCAAGCCACACTGTGTCTTATGGCCTGCCCTCAGGAATTACCAGCTGTCGTTTCCATAATGTGCTGTTGCTTACACAGCTGAGTCCTGCTCACTGTGCAAGGTGCCTGCATGACAGTGTGCATGCCAGGACCTGAGGCAGCTGGAGTCCTCTTGGAGGCTGGCACCCCAACTCCTATCCAGAAATGAGAGTTTTAAAAGGGCTGAGTTCACTTTTGAGCAGAGACTGGTACCTAGATCACACTGTAGGGTGATCTTTCTGGGCTGATTAACAGGTAACAAAATATTTATTGTTGTAAACAGTAACCTCTGAGATTGTCATTTTACTATAAACAGTATCTCTGAGTCTCATTTGGCTCGTTAACAGAAAAGTTGTTTCTGGCCAAAGGTGAAGGCCACATTCTTGTGTCCCAGGACCTGATGTGAGGAACAAGGCTTTAAAGTCTCAGCATCAGTAATCAGTCATCCTCCTCCCCTTCCTGTGTTCAGTGCGGCGCCTTGCCTTCCCACGGGCCTGGCACCTCCACAGCCAGAAAACCTCCTTTCACCTTCTCCAAAGAATGAACCTCCTTTGTTCCAGGGCTGGGGAGATATGCAGTCCCCCTTATTTAAGCTACCCCTTCTATTCCATTTCCAGAAGGATGCTGCCAATTCCTGAGATGTGGGGGGTTCCACAAATTGAAACTGACTTGGTTCTCAGTTCTCCCTTGTGCTGGGTTAGAATTCAGTTTCCTGGGATCTGCTATTCATTTTGCACACTCTACCTGCATTCTAACTTCTAATATTTTTTACTGTTGTCTCCTTTCCTATTGTCCCTGTCCTTGTGGTTCATGTCCTTTTAAAGGTATTGTCTTTGCTGTCATTTTTATGGGACAGAACTTGATGAAAGTAAATGACTGTTTCAGTCTGCCATCTTTACCCAGAAGTCCACTGCACTTTTTTTTAAGTGTATAAACCACTGTTCTGTTTAATGGGGTGGTTAGTTGTGTTTCACTTACAGTTCTTTTCACTGACTTTCAAATTAAGAGTGTTTGGTTAGGGCCAGAACCAGTTTTACCATGAAGTTAATGAAGTTGAGCTTTAGGACCCCTTACTTGCTCCTTCTAAAGGCCTGTGAAGTCCCAACAATGAGTTCATATGGTCCTGTCTTGCCAAGGCAAGCTTTTTCTTTTCCCTAAAAACCCTTACCTCCCCTTAGGTTATATAAGCTTCAGACTCCACAAAACATGGATCCATCCCAGATGAGAAAAAACATACACATAACCCCTATTCCCACTCTCACTAATTTCCGTGATCTGAGTGTTATCTAGAGAAGAGCTCCTCACACCTGGGGTGGGCCCGACACTCTGTATTTGTAACAGGCTCCCACGTGACTGGTCCATCAACCACACCTGGAGTTATAGGGATTACCTTTCCTTTAACAGAGTTTTGATCACAGATGGTCTGGGTCCTTGATACCCACATGTCAATCCATGGCACTGACCATCCCTCCATCCTTGTCATGAAGGTAGACATCTGTTTAAGGGGTCTGCATTTGCATTAAGAGTGCATTCTTTCTTCCCCAGCTGGAAGGAAATCAAAATAGTGGGGAGATAAGGTCAGGGGCGTGTCAGTGGCAATCAAGAGTCCGTAAACTTCATTTTTTCCAATGGTTTCCTACTACCAACTCTCAAAAATAGAAACGGAAAAGCATTACTTTCCTGTCACTGCACATATTCAGGAGCAGCCAGCATGGAGCAGAATTGGCTGATCTTAGTTATAATCCCTCTTCTTGACTCCTTGGGCAAAACTGATGCCTCTATAGTTTGCTAGAACTGCCATAACCAGGTACCACAGACTGGGTGACTTAAACCAGAGAAATTATTGTCTCATGGTTCTAGAGGCTAAGAGTCTGAAATAGGTGCCAGCAGCATTTGTTCCTACTGAGGGCCTTCCTAAAGCTCTTATCTCCCAATAAGGCCACGTTTTGAAGTACTAGGAGTTAGGACATTCAACATAATGAGGGGAATGGGGCAAGAGGCATGACACAATTCAACCCATAACACACAGTTAAAAAATAAAATGAAATTACACTTTGCTTTTTGCATGGGATTGCTTAGTGTTGGTTCATTTCTAAAACTCCAAGATTAAAGGATGCTTGAGGAACTAATTAGTTTTCCTCTGTTTTCTGGGATCCTACACATTTCCTCCACTGATTGCATTTGCTTTTAAAATTGGAATCTAATGAAGAATACTTTTAATATGAGCTACTGATAACTTTATCTTACTAATTAACAATACATTATCTCACAAAAACATATCCCCTTTTTCTTTGTTTTTAGGTTGGCGCTGTAAACGGTATGGTCACCGCACGGGCGACAAAGAATGCCCTTTCTTTATCAAAGGCAACCAAAAGTTAGAACAGTTCAGAGTAGTAAGTAAAACCCCAGAATGTCAATTTACGTTTACAAAAGAGGGTGAATACCCATGAATCAGGCAGTCATGACTGAACTGGAAGTTTACGGAAAATATATTCACAGAATCCTTTTGGTTAAATATCTGGTGTTAACTGCCCCAGTTAACACCAGTTAATTCTGTTGAATTGTGACAGATTAGTTACATTAACAAAAAAAACTAACTTATTATTGAAGTGTTACTTGCTTATGCCTTGGGGACACTGACTCTTTTTCTGAAGCAGTTATCCACTTCTTCTTAATTGTGTAAAAAATCATATTTCATAACAAAGAAACCAGGGTTCTAGTTTCCTGTTCTTATCTATAGATTAGGTATCTTTCTACTATAAACTAGAAGTATGCATAAATGATATGTCCCCATTAGATAACAGTAAAATAGATCTGTCATTTCCTCACTTTATTTGAAAAGAGTCAACTCTGAGGGGTGTTCATTCACCATTCGGTTGTTGCTAAAATTCACTGTTGAGCAAGAGTTTCGGCATTTTCACCATGTGTATCAGGTATATTGGGATTGTCAGCATTTACCAAGCTGCGGTCCACAGAGATTCTCCGGGGATGTTTAAGACATTGAAAATATTGTGCTTTCATTTATCTGGATAAATCATTGATAGCTGGATCAATTTTTATAGCTCCTCTAACATAATTTGGTGATAAATCTCAAAAACTTAAAACATATTCAATATTTTTTAATTTAAAAACCTTATGCTAAGAATCGATCCTAAGGATATAACAGAACATCAATATACACAAATTTTTATGAATATAGAAGGATAACGTTCAGAATCACTTGTATAGTTAAAAAATAGAAACTAAAGAAAAATCAGCAACAACTTCAATGGCCAACATAGCACGTAAATGACTGAACACACAGAAACCATGTAGCCTGTAAGAATTATGTTTTAAAAGAAGGTGTAGTGTCATGGGAAGGTGTTCATGAAAACATAAGTGAAAAAGAGAATAGAGACATATGTAATATGGTTATAATTTTTGTAAATTATGATAATGACTATAAGAACACACTAAACTGCCCTGGCTGATGTAGTTCAGTGGATTGTGCACAGGCCTGCAAACCAGAGGATCATGGTTTGATTCCCAGTCAGGGCACATGCCTGGGTTGCAGGCCAGTTCCCAGCAGGGGATGCACAAGAGGCAACCACATTGATATTTCTCTCCCTCTGTCCTTCCCTTCCCATCTAAAGATAAATAAATAAAATCTTAAAAAAAAAACACACACACTAAACTGCTAGCAGTGGATACCCCCGATGGTAAGATAGTAGATATTTTTAACTTTATTTTTGTATTTACTATGTAAAATTGTTATGAAAAACATTTTCAAAGATAATTCACATACTATAAAATTCACTCTATGTACATTCGTATCTTTAAGTACTTTAAGTGATTTTAAATTATATAGCTACTACTACATTTGCCTTATTTTAACAAAATGAAAACATTTCAGTAAGCTTTTCCAAAACTGACTTTTCAAGTCCAATCTTGCTGCTCTCCCCAAAGGGGGAACGTACAATGAGTAGCTTGATGAGTAACTTCCAGACTTCTTTTTGGGCACAGGTTTGTTGTACATCCATAAATGGATCATTCTCTTTTTTACTTATTGATTTGAGAGAAAGAAAAATGTTGATCTGTTCTTCCATCTACCCATGCAATCATTGGCTGATAAATGAATCATTCTTACATATCATTTTGCAACTCACTTATTTTCCATAATATCTCTTGATCATCTCTCCATATAAACAATGAGAATTACCTCAATATTCCTAACCTTGAGTTATTTATTAATGATTTTACCAGGTTTATTTCCTTATAAAGAATATTTAAATTATAACCCTGTATTTGTATAATTGGAAAATCTTTTTTGTACCCTCTGTGAGTTTGAAGTGTGGTGATACTGAGGAAGAATGAGAACATAGAAAATATAAAATTACATCAAACCAGGAGGGAGGGCTGATTTCAGTGAAACAGGGTTTTAATTTTAATTTAACAATCTATTAAGCCTAACCAAACCTTAACCTTGTCTAACCCTCAAGGCACATGAGGATCCCATGTATGACATCATACGAGAGAATAAAAGACACGAGAAGGATATAAGGTGAGGTTCCCTGATGATGATAACATCCTCTCAAAGTTTTAAATTATATTAAGTGGGAAAGAACCATTCCAGTAGAAGAGGAGTGGTTTTGAGGAGGTAGGTTACTTAGTATGAACTTGAGCAGTGGGGGAGTGATTTAGGAAGGGGTCTCTGTTAGAAGTTGTAACAATAAGGGACAACGGTAATAGCATAAATAAAACATTTGAAAAATAAAATGAAAAAAAACATACTAAAGTGAGCATAGACTATGAAGACTAAAAGCTTATGTAAACTTTTACATTAAAAAAAGAAGATATAATAGTAAGGACTATAGAAACATGCAGAAATATGCAGCACACTGAAAAGAACACAGAATGCACACTGGTTACAGTCCTGTGAAATAGTCATGGGTGGGGACGAGGATGTGGAAAACATGCAGAAACAAAAATGATTACTGTGCTTAAGGAGGTGATTACTTCATGACTTTTGTTACCCTCACTGCTAATCTTCTAGAAATTTTTTTTAAGTTACCGATGATGGTCCTCTGACCAATCTTACCTGTGCAGGATACAACAGTTAAAGCAATTACTGGAAGATTCCACCTCAGATGACGATGGGAGCAGCTCCAGCTCCTCAGAGGATAAGGAGAGACCCAAGAAAAGGAGGAAGAAAGAAAAGCACAAGAAAAAGAAGAAAGAAAAGAAGAAGAAGAAGAAACGAAAGCACAAGTCTTCCAAGTCACAGGAGAGCTCGGACTCGGACTGACTGGCGCCAGGCTTGTTCAGACTCTCGTCTCGGGGATCGGACACTGGGGCCAAAGAGCAGGGGACCCTGGGTCAGAGAGGACGCCAGTGAGGCTGCCTGGTGTCACACGTGTGCGTTCTCCCCTGCCTTCCAGTGAAGGCGTGACCAGCGGAGAGGGACTCACACCTTCCCAGGTGCTTGCTCCAGACAGCGAATGACTTCTGGCAGGAAAGCTCTTTCCACTGTCGTCCTGCTGGTCACTGGGGTTTGTGATTCCTGAGACATGGTGGGGTGACAGGACTGAGGACGCGCCCCACCCCCGAGCACTGTCACCCTCCACAGTGAGGCTGCTGAGTTCCCAGCCTGCAGACTGGACCCTCTTCTGTTCTTCAAGATAATAAAAGGTCATTATTTATTTTTTCAAATGTGTTTATCTTTTATTTCTGAATAATACATACATGTGTTTGAAATTTAAAAGGTACGTAAGGTTTAATTATGAAAACGCTTCCTTCTCTCCCCTTCTTACCGGAGCCTCCCGCCACTTCTTGCTTTAACTGGAATCTGAGCATCCCCTGTGCCCCCTACAAGTTAACTACTATCCCTAGCCCTTTCTGAGCTCTGGTCCTTTTGTCCAACTTTCTCAGCACCTCAAACCTCCTCTGCATCTATACCCACACTGCTAGAGAATAACCACACAGCCATGTAGATTGGTACCCCCACAAATTCATCATCTCCAAACTCAACTGAGTCTATAAAGTTCATCCTCAGACATCATCCTTTAAACTGAGCATTTTCCACTCCTACCCAGGAAGGCTTTAGGAGCCCTCAGACCTCCCTTCACAAAGACAACCTACCAACCTACCAATACATCATCATAGTTATGGGAGGCAGAATTCTAAAACGGCCCCAAGATTTCTCCACTAGTCTCCAGACTGTTAACATGATGAATTTTATTCTTATGATTTGATCATTGTTACAAGCACAAGAAGAGGAAAATTACCTGGGTGTTCCTAACCAAATCGTAAGAGCCCTATAAAATTCCAGTTTTTACTGATTCCGAGCCAGCGAAAGATTCCACATGCCGCTATTGACTTTCAAGGTAAAGGGAAGAGATGCAATGCATGGGATACCGCAGACTAGAATTACTAATTGTGGCAGATTCTAATTCACAGACTAGCAAGGAAAGGGGAAGTCAGTCCTAGAGAGAGCTAAGGGAATTCTGTTTTTCCAACCCTAATAACGAATACATGCTCTTCACCAGAGCCTCTAGATAGGACCCCAACCCTGCAGACACCTTGATTTTAGTCATGGAAGATGCTAAGCAGAGAACCCAGTTGAACCTGCCCAGACTGGTGACCTACAGGACTGTAAGATAACAGACAGTGGTTGTTTTAAACCATTGTGTGGTAATTTGTTACGCAGCAACAGATCATTAACACAGTGGTTCAATTCAGTTGGGCATATCAGATTGGGCCAGCTGCTTGACCTTCCTTGTGTCTCCATTTCCATGACTGACAATACTGACTTCACAGTAATCGGGAATTGGTGTTAATACTCATAAAGCATTTAGAACACAGTCTGGCCCCTTTCGATTCCTAACTCAACATTAGCTGCTTCTGCTACTACCTATGCTATCATTACGTACTCCTGCTTCCTCGGGGATCTTCCTTTCATTTTCCCTGCTCACTCATGTCCTCAAATTCTTCAACTGCTATGTTGTAAACATTTAAAAATTGTTTTAAGCCCTGGCCGGGTGGCTCAGTTGATTGGAGCATTGTCCTGTACACCAAAAGGTTGCAGGTTCAATTCCCAGTGAGGGAACACACCTAGGTTGGGGGCTCGATCCCTGGTTGGGATGCATATGGGAAACACCAGATCTCTCTCTCCCCCCACCTTTCTCCCCCCTTTTCTCTCTTTGAAATCAATAAACATAGCCTCAGGTGAGAATTTAAAAGTTGTTTTAAAATTATAAAAGTAATGTATGTTCATAAAAAGTTCCCAACTCAAAGCCATTATACAGTAAAATGTGAGCATCTTAAATGGCTTTATGTATATCCTTCCCGATATTTTTAAAAACGCATTACCAAACATGCCCTTTTACATAACTAGCTTTGTAACTAGTGTTTACAAATACTAGTTTTACATAACTGAATAACACTTTGAATACTGTCCTATAACTTCCTTTCACTTTGTTTACCTGGGCAATCTTACTGCTTACTGTGAGCTTCAAATGGCCACAACAGTCCTTGGTGTGGATGCGCTGATTCGTTTAACCTTTCTGTCACAGTTCATTTGTTTCCATTGGTCCTTCTGTGATACTGCGATTTATAAGGAATATGTACTTGGTTACTCAGACGGCCAAGTACATATTTCTCATATATGGACTTAGTCCACCATTCATGATTCACAGTTCCAAAAACCCTGCTCATTTTATGAGCAGTAAAAGCAGTGAAGCAATTGTATTTTGTCTCTCATCCTTATTACCTGAAGGCACTTTAGAGCCATAAGGTGACATGAGTATCACAGGATCAATCTTTTCCACCAAACACAAAAAGGGCATTCGTGCCCCTGATGATAAATGCCAGACTTGTTTCCTTACCAGATGCATGTGCTCCACATTCCTAAGAGGAAGGTGGAGACATTTATCTTGCCATAAATGTCCCTCTCCTTCTCCTGCTCCAAATGGTTCCCTGTCCCAGACAAAGAGACAGCCTCACCAGGTAGGACAGAGTTGGAGGGATTACCCCAAGGAACTCCCTGCATCCCTTCTCTGTCACCCCCGAGACAAGAAGCGGACATACATTAATCACTTGAAAGACACCAGGCAGGTGAGAGTGAGTCCAGCTGCTAGAAAAGAGGAAAGGTTGGAAAAGGTGGTAGGTGGGATGTGGCAGAAAAAGATAGTGGGGCAAGGGACATGTTCTCACTTCAAGCCATTTTGCCCTGCTGTCATAGCACTTTCTAGAAAATTGTGGTATAAAATACATAAAACTTACTGACCTAAAAGGCTGAGCGGCCTTTTAACCACTCTTAAATGTACTGTACAGAAGTGTTGATGATATGTACCTAGTCGTGAAACAGCTCTGGATTTATTTTATTATTATTTTTTTATATATATATATTTTTTACAGCACGCAGAGGGAAAGGGAGGAAGAAAGTGAGGGAGGGAGATTGCCTCTCACACCCCCACAAGGGGGGACAAGCCGTCAACCCAGACCTTTCCTGTGGCCTGGACTCGAGCTGGCGGCCTTTCACTTTGCAGGATGACACCCACCCCACTCAGCCACACGGGTCAGAGCTCCTCTAGAACTTTCCCATCTTGCAAAACTGAAACTCAATACTGACTTGAACAACTTCCCCATTTCCTCTTCCCCCAGCCCCTCACTCACCATCCTACTTTCCGGTTTGAACAGTCTGACCACCTCATACAAGAGGAGTAACGCGGGACGTCTGGTAAGGGTCACCCTTACCGTGGAACTTCGCGGAACCTCCTGTTCCAAGGCTGAGCGGTGCCCCCTTCGAAGTGCAGGCCACACTTCCCATAGCCATTCACCTGCTGGCGGGCATTTGGGCGACTTCCACGTCTTTCCGATGGCACTGCTGCGCACGAGCACGGGAGAGCCGGCGCCGGCACCGAGCGCCCGCTTTCTCCTCTTCTGGACTGATGGCCACCGGCGGTGGGCGGCCGGGCCTCGCGGCAGCTGAATTTTCAACGGCTGCAGGAAGGCCCCGCTTCCCACAGCGGCTGCAGCAGTTCGCAGTCCTGCCCGTAGCGAACTCAGCTCCCGTTTCTCCGCATCCTCGTTGGCACTTGCTGTTTTGGTTTTGGTTTTGCTTTGTTTTACGGTGGTCATCCTCGCTGCATGTGAGGACCTGCATTTTCCTGGTGCTTGGAGATGCTGACCTTCTCTTCACGAGCTTGTTGGCCACTTGTCTGGCAGAGCCTATTGCCCATGTTTTCATTGGGTTATTTGCTCTTTGTTCAGTTATTGGAGATCTTTATATATTCTTTTTTAAATGTTTATCGATTAGAGAGAGAGAAACGTCGATTTGTTGTCCCACTCGCTTCCGCATTCACTGACTAATTCTTACAGACCGCTCCCAACCCCGGGGTCACACCCACGAGCCTGGCCCGTCAGCACGACGCTCTGACCCAGCTACTCTCCGTCTCACGGCACAGAGAACCGAATTCCTAAATTCAGTAGTACACTAAAAATATACTGTTTGCCAAGCTGACAAAAAAAAAAAGAACGGGTATGACTTGGATTCATTCACACCAGAGGGCTACTGTTGTCTTGGCAGTTACCGGGTTTGTCGTTGTTATTTTTGACAATCTAAGGGAAAAGAGGTCAGTTTCCCTGACTGGGGGATCAGGTATTCATGTTTCGAAAGTTTTTGAGGCACATGGCTTGAAAATCGCTGCTCTAAACCACTAGGAACCCTACCAGGGCTACATAGTCTTGATATTAACCCCCACCGGGTATACGGTTTGAAAATATCTTCTCACATACCCTTTGTCGCATTTCTACTCTGTCCCTTCCCGCGCTGCGCAGCTGTTCGTCTTACACTTTACAGTCAACACTACTGCGCAACTGCGAAGGCTGCGCCGCGCGTGGCCTTCTGGGGGTTGTAGTCCAGAGCGGCTGAAGAGGATGGAAGTTGAAGGATTTCTTTCCCGATGGGCCAAGGTTAGAATCGGATTTCTATTAAGCGGGGCTAGCACGGGCCACAGGGTGGTTCTCCCTAGCAGAGATAGACAATTAATACAATACAACTCCCTTTTTAGTGCTAGGACAGTAGCCGCACCCGGGCCCACCTGCCGCCTGGCTGTCGACGCGGGCCGCGCCCCGCCGCCTTTCCCCTGTCCACACCCCTCGGCGCTCCTGGTTGGGGCTCTCCGCGGGGGCGGGGCTCGCGCAGAGCGGTGGGGGCGGGGCGTTTTGGTAGCGTCACCAGGCTCTCGCCTCTAGGCGCCCCCCCCCCACCCGCCAGCGGCCCCACGACCTGGTCTTTTCTGCTTGGGAGGCGCATGAGGCTCTCTGCTCATGGACCGAGCGGCCGTGGCGCGGGTGGGCGCGGTAGCGAGCGCCAGTGTGTGCGCCCTGGTGGCAGGGGTGGTGTTGGCCCAGTACATATTCACCATGAAAAGGAAGACGGGGAGGAAGACCAAGATCATCGAGATGGTGAGTGCAGGGACTTGGCGCGGCGGAGCCCGAGAGGGCTGGCCGGGGCTCCGGCTGTTGTAGAAATGCTCGGGAAGCCCAGGGGACCCGTTCTGGACCCTCGAGGGCGGCAGTCGGGCCTTTGTTAGGTCGTCTTTGGAAACAGACAGTAAATAGGTAATAAGAGCACGAGCTGCTTCCCGCTGCAAAGTACGTTCGCTTGGAGGTGTTCCTCCCTCCTTCCCGCATCCCCCGCAAGCCCT